TAGACTAGACTATAGACTAGACTATAGACTAGACTATAGACTAGATAGATTAGACTATAGACTAGACTATAGACTAGACTATAGACTAGACTATAGACTAGACTATAGACTAGACTATAGACTAGACTATAGACTAGACTATAGACTAGACTATAGACTAGACTATAGACTAGACTATAGACTAGACTATAGACTAGACTATAGACTAGACTATAGACTAGACTATAGACTAGACTATAGACTAGACTATAGACTAGACTATAGACTAGACTATAGACTAGACTATAGACTAGACTATAGACTAGACTATAGACTAGACTATAGACTAGACTATAGACTAGACTATAGACTAGACTATAGACTAGACTATAGACTAGACTATAGACTAGACTATAGACTAGACTATAGACTAGACTATAGACTAGACTATAGACTAGACTATAGACTAGACTATAGACTAGACTATAGACTAGACTATAGACTAGACTATAGACTAGACTATAGACTAGACTATAGACTAGACTATAGACTAGACTAGACTAGACTATAGACTAGACTATAGACTAGACTATAGACTAGACTATAGACTAGACTATAGACTAGACTATAGACTAGACTATAGACTAGACTATAGACTAGACTATAGACTAGACTATAGACTAGACTATAGACTAGACTATAGACTAGACTATAGACTAGACTATAGACTAGACTAGACTATAGACTAGACTATAGACTAGACTGAACTAGAACTGAACTAGAACTGAACTAGAACTGAACTAGAACTGAACTAGAACTGAACTAGAACTGAACTAGAACTGAACTAGAACTGAACTAGAATTGAACTAGAACAGAACTGAGCTAGAACTGAGCTAGATCTGATCTAGAATTGAACTAGAACTGAACTAGAACTAAACTAGAACTGAACTAGAACTGAACTAGAACTGAACTAGAACTGAACTAGAACTGAGCTAGAACTGAGCTAGAACTGAACTAGAACTGAACTAGAACTGAACTAGAACTGAACTAGAACTGAACTGGAACTGAACTAGAACTGAACTAGAACTGAACTAGAACTGAACTAGAACTGAACTAGAACTGAACTAGAACTGAACTAGAACTGAACTAGAACTGAACTAGAACTGAACTAGAGCTGAACTTGAAATGAACTAAAACTGAACTAGAACTAGACTGAACTGAACTAGAACTGAACTAGAATTGAACTAGAACTGAACTAGAACTAAACTAGAACTGTACTAGAATTGAACTAGAACTCTATTAAAACCGAACAAAAATGAACTAGAACGAAACGATAATTAAAGAAAAATAGACCAAAGTCTACACTATAGTCAGCACTACTACTACTGACTACTATAGTAGTCTTTGGTTATAAAATAGACTATAGACTAGTATTTACTAAAAATATTGTAATAACATATGTATTTTTAAAATTTTCTTTATAGAGCACATATTATTTCTACAAAACTGGTGATAATCTATTTTGAAATTCTATGTAAGATAATAAACCTTAATTATTACCCTGTAATAACACAAAGTTTATACAAATTTCTTTATAGAACATCATATTTTTTGGAATCTCTTTAATCAAATCCATAAGGTGTCAAATTTTTAAAACAACGCGCAGTTGAACTATAGACTAGACTATAGACTAGACTATAGACTAGACTATAGACTAGACTATAGACTAGACTATAGACTAGACTATAGACTAGACTATAGACTAGACTATAGACTAGACTATAGACTAGACTATAGACTAGACTATAGACTAGACTATAGACTAGACTAGACTATAGACTAGACTATAGACTAGACTGAACTAGAACTGAACTAGAACTGAACTAGAACTGAACTAGAACTGAACTAGAACTGAACTAGAACTGAACTAGAACTGAACTAGAACTGAACTAGAATTGAACTAGAACAGAACTGAGCTAGAACTGAGCTAGATCTGATCTAGAATTGAACTAGAACTGAACTAGAACTAAACTAGAACTGAACTAGAACTGAACTAGAACTGAACTAGAACTGAACTAGAACTGAGCTAGAACTGAGCTAGAACTGAACTAGAACTGAACTAGAACTGAACTAGAACTGAACTAGAACTGAACTGGAACTGAACTAGAACTGAACTAGAACTGAACTAGAACTGAACTAGAACTGAACTAGAACTGAACTAGAACTGAACTAGAACTGAACTAGAACTGAACTAGAACTGAACTAGAGCTGAACTTGAAATGAACTAAAACTGAACTAGAACTAGACTGAACTGAACTAGAACTGAACTAGAACTGAACTAGAACTAAACTAGAACTAAACTAGAACTGTACTAGAATTGAACTAGAACTCTATTAAAACCGAACAAAAATGAACTAGAACGAAACGAAAATTAAAGAAAAATAGACCAAAGTCTACACTATAGTCTGCACTACTACTACTGACTACTATAGTAGTCTTTGGTTATAAAATATACTAGAGACTAGTATTTACTAAAAATATTGTAATAACATATGTATTTTTAAAATTTTCTTTATAGAGCACATATTATTTCTACAAAACTGGTGATAATCTATTTTGAAATTCTATGTAAGATAATAAACCTTAATTATTACCCTGTAATAACACAAAGTTTATACAAATTTCTTTATAGAACATCATATTTTTTGAAATCTCTTTAATCAACTCCATAAGGTGTCAAATTTGTAAAACAACGCGCAGTTGAACTCTGAATAACAAATTACCATTGTTCTATACTTAAAATGAAGACTGCAAAATGGTCCATTATATTAACATTTCTTATTTCTTTTTCTACATTGAATTAATATTAGTTTTTAGTTTCATCAAAAAAAAAAATATTTAATTTATTGTTTTTGTTTAAGTTTGTATTACATATGCTTCAGATTTGAATGAAGTTTTTGTTTTTATTATATTTTAGTCTTAAAACAAAATAATGAATTTTTCTATTGTATTACTTATTATCAACAAATAAAATATTTCAAAATTATAACTTTGTGTTATGTTCTTAAAGGAAAGTTTGGTTCTTACCTATGACCCCGTTACACCAGTTTTTCTCTGAAAAAAATAACAAGAGTTTCTTTTTTCTTAGGGTTTTATATAATTGTTGTTTTTATTTTTAATATAATTTTAAAATAACTTAGAAAATAAAACAAACCAACAAATTTAATAAATATATTAAATATCTCTTTTGGAATATAGATTTCAAAACCTAATTCGTTGTTCCTTATGAGGAGAAGAGGGTTTAATAATATAATTATTTAATAAATAGTTTAAGTTAATAATTGTTTTTATCTTTTTGTAAATGGAATAAAAGTTTTAAATATCAATAAGTTAAGGAATTGTAATTATTTTTAGTATTTTTTTTTTGTTATTTTAAGTTCAAGCGTGTAGTAATAGAATTAAAGTTGAAATTTGTGTTTGACTGAAATTTTTAATTGACTGTCTTAATTGCACTAGAAAAAAGCTTAAATAATATTTAAATGATGATTATTTTTGTTTTTAATTTTAATTTTTTTTTTTAATAATAACAATAATGCTAAAAAAAATTAATATTTTATGTGATTTTGTTTTTTTATTTTAATTTTTTTTAAACACTAAAAACTAGATTTGATGTTTTTCTATATTTTTTTGTTTGTTATTTGTTTTCTACATGATAAATTATTGTACTCATTATAAGGTATTTTTATTTTGTTAATATTTTTTTTCTTTTATAGTTTAAAACTTTGTTGTTTTTGGTTTCTTTTATTTTAATTTGGGCAATTTTAATATCATTGATTTTTAAATTTTGGTGTTTAATTAATTATTTTTTTTATTTCAGCAGTTAATTGGTTAGAACTAGAACTGAATACGAACTAGAATTGAATTAGAACTGAATATGAACTCGAATTGAACTAGAACTGAACTAGAACTGAACTAGAACTGAACTAGAACTCAACTAGAATTGAACTAGAACTGAACTAGAACTGAACTAGAACTGAACTAGAATTGAACTAGAACTGAACTAGAATTCAACTAGAACTGAACTACAGCTGATGTAGAACTGAACAAGAACAGAACTGAACTAGAACTGAAGTAGAACTGAACAAGAACAGAACTGAACTAGAACTGAACTAGAACTGAACTAGAACTAGAACTGAACTAGAACTGAACTAGAACTGAACTAGAACTGAACTAGAACTGAACTAGAACTGAACTAGAACTGAACTAGAACTGAACTAGAACTAGAACTGAACTAGAACTGAACTAGAACTGAACTAGAACTGAACTAGAACTGAACTAGAACTGAACTAGAACTGAACTAGAACTGAACTAGAACTGAACTAGAACTGAACTAGAACTGAACTAGAACTGAACTAGAACTGAACTAGAACTGAACTAGAACTGAACTAGAATTGAACTAGAACTGAACTAGAACTGAACTAGAACTGAACCAGAACTGAACTAGAATTGAACTAGAACTGAACTAGAACTCAACTAGAACTGAACTGGAACTGAACTAGAACTAAACTAGAATTGAACTAGAACTGAACTAGAACTGAACTAGAACTGAACTAGAACTGAACTAGAACTGAACTAGAACTGAACTAGAACTGAACTAGAATTGAACTAGAATTGAACTAGAACTGAACTAGAACTGAACTAGAACTGAACTAGAACTGAACTAGAACTGAACTAGAACTGAACTAGAACTGAACTAGAACAGAACCAGAACTGAACTAGAACTGAACTGGAACTGAACTAGAACTGAACTAGAACTGAAGTAGAATTGAACTAGAATTCACCTAGAACTGAACTACAGCTGAACTAGAACTGAATTAGAATTGAACTAGAACTGAACTAGAATTGAACTAGAACTGAACTAGAACTGAACTAGAACTGAACTAGAACTGAACTAGAACTGAACTAGAACTGAACTAGAATTGAACTTGAAGTGAACTAGAACTGAACTGGAACTGAACTAGAACTAAACTAGAACTAAACTAGAACTGAACTAGAACTAAACTAGAACTGAACTAGAACTGAACTAGAACTGAACCAGAACTGAACTAGAACAGAACCAGAACTGAACTAGAACTGCACAGGAACTTAACTACAAATAGACATAAACTAAAACTCTATAGTCGTCAACTGACAACAAATCTTAACCAATTAAACGCCAATCAGTTAAATTAAAAATACTGTTGTTACTTTGTTTTTCGGCCAAAGCAATTTTAGTAATCACTATCACCGCTAATGGCCTGTTCATCATCACCGCCATCACCACCTTCCTCATCGTCATCATCTAACATTTCGAGAAAAGCTCGGGGTACTAAACCCTTTAACAAACCCTGCTTGCCATACATATAATCAGTATTAATGGGTTGACATTCGGCCACCAAAATAACCTTGAAAATAAACAAACAACAATTAGTTTAATAATAATTTTCTATACAGATATTTTAAAAAATATATATATATTTCACCTCATTTGCACTTAAAGTCAATTCCGTATGATCTTTGGCATCGTAGGCACACAAAACGCGTGCCCTTTTCATTTGATCTGCATTCACGCTAATCGGTGCATTAATTTTTGTTTTATTACTGTTTCTAACAAAAGGATTTCCTCCTTGTTCAATTCCTCCTCCTCCAGCAGCCTGTTGATGTTGATCCATTTCAATGGGCTGATAAGGTGTAGGGCCTCCCAAACTGTATGGTTTTTTTATTTTATTCAAAATTGTACCAATCGATATTTGTTTGTTGTTGCATTGTTTCGGTTATTGGTTTTAAAACGTTTTTGTATTCGAAATTATTCGTTTGATTTGTTTAATTTGTGTTTGTTTGATTATTTTGATTGTTTTTATTATTTTGAGTGTATGAAAAAGTAATGATTGTTTATGGGTTAATTTTCTTTTTTTCATAGTTTTTACAAAATTCTAGATTAATTTATTTTGTTCTTAACCATATTTAATCATTAATTAACAAAGCATTTAATTATTTAAAAAATATATATTATTATGTATTTTATATGTATGTTTTTTTTTTTAATAATTCATAAATATTTAGATATTTGTAAGAGTTTTACTGTGAAGCATTTTTTAAGAAATAAGAACAGTAACGATTTATTTTATTATTTAACTACTTTGCACACCATTGTAGTATTAAAAATTTCAACTAGAAATGAAATAGAACTGAACTAGAACTGAACAAGAACTGAATTAGAACTGAATTAGAACTGAAGTAGAACTGAACTCGAACTGAATTAGAACTGAATTAGAACTTAACTAGAACTGAAATAGAACTGAAATAGAACTGAACTAGAACTGAACTAGAACTGAACTAGAACTGAACTAGAACTGAACTAGAACTGAACTAGAACTGAACTAGAACTGAACTAGAACTGAACTAGAACTGAACTAGAACTGAACTAGAACTGAACTAGAACTGAACTAGAACTAGAACTGAACTAGAACTGAACTAGAACTGAACTAGAACTGAACTAGAACTGAACTAGAATTGAAGTAGAACTGAACTAGAACTGAACTAGAACTGAACTAGAACTGAACTAGAACTGAACTAGAACTGAACTAGAACTGAACTAGAACTGAACTAGAACTGAACTAGAACTGAACTAGAACTGAACTAGAACTGAACTAGAACTGAACTAGAACTGAACTAGAACTGAACTAGAACTGAACTAGAACTGAACTAGAACTGAACAGAACTGAATTAGAACTGAATTAGAACTGAACTAGAACTGAACTAGAACTGAATTAGAACTGAATTAGAACTGAACTAGAACTGAACTCGAACTGAACTAGAACTGAACTAGAACTGAACTAGAACTGAACTAGAACTGAACTAGAACTGAACTAGAACTGAACTAGAACTGAACTAGAACTGAACTAGAACTGAACTAGAACTGAACTAGAACTGAACTAGAACTGAACTAGAACTGAACTAGAACTGAACTAGAACTGAACTAGAACTGAACTAGAACTGAACTAGAACTGAACTAGAACTGAACTAGAACTGAACTAGAACTAAACTAGAACTGAACTAGATTTGAACTAGAACAGAACAAGAACTGAATTAGAACTAAAATAGAACTGAACTAGAACTGAACTAGAACTGAACTAGAACTGAACTAGAACTGAACTAGAACTGAATTAGAACTGAACTAGAATTGAACTAGAACTGAACTAGAACTGAACTAGAACTGAACTAGAACTAGAACTGAACTGAACTAGAACTGAACTAGAACTGAACTAGAACTGAACTAGAACTGAACTAGAACTGAATTATAACTGTACTAGAAATGATCGAGAACTGCAATGTGTTTGCCTATCCAACCATATTTTTAATAAACAATGTGCATACTATACGTATAAAGATATTTGAATATAAATTTATTAAATAATAACTGAAAAGTCGTTTTAACAATTATTCAAAAAACTTAACATCATCCTTTCTATGTAGATAACAACATAACTAAATTCTATAAAAAACATCACTACTTATATAGATGTTATAGCTGTAGTATCATATTTTAAATCACATTCATCTAAAATTTTTGAGGGATTTTTATCATTGCTAGCCACCGTGGGTGTAGTAAAAGGATTCGTTGCTGTTGTTATATCTAACGATTCTAAATTATCTAAATCTACACTATCATATTGACAATAAGAAGCTAAAGATTTTGCAGCATTGGCAGTTTCTGAGGCAGCCACAGCAACTGTTACAATTTTGTTATTACTAAATTGTGTTGGTTGATTAGTAGTATTCGTATTCGTACTGGTGTTATTAATAATAGTTGAATTTTGAATATTTAGGTTTGCATTGGGAGGCCCTGTATCTATATCTTCACTATTAATGCGTAGACGCGGCTTTTCTGGCTTAAGTCTGCAAACCATGTAGGGAAGTTTGTATTTTTTTGGTTTGTACATATGTTTTTTTACGTTCAAAATTTATACATTTTTGCATTAATTAAGTATTTTTTTTTTTTTTAATTGTTTAAGAATGATCAAAGTAATATATAGTAGTAATAACATTATTTGTAAGTGCATGATTGAATTATTTTAGTTTTTGAGTGCATTTCAAAAATATTTCGTAAATGACAACAATACTACAGTGCTTCTGGGTTATGTTATAGGACTACTTAATTTTAATTTTATATAATTTATTATGTTAATACTAAAATTTTAAGACTACAAACTACTAGATTGCATAACAAAATGATACCTACTTGGCTAAATCCAATTGCAATTGATCCATAACATCGGTACATTGTTTATAGTAACGTACTTGATTTTCAATAAAGGCATGCAAATGTCTTAAGTGTGACGCTTGAGATGTATTAATGCCCTCCAACAATGATTTAGTAATTTCCGATTGACGATCAAATTCTGACTGAGCTACACGCAAATCACGTTCAGCCTTTAAAAGTTAATATAGAAGTTAATTAGATTTAGTTTATAGGAAATAGAATAATTATATAAAACCTGTTCTAAAACAGCTTCTGGTGTAACACCATCTTTCTGTTGAGGCGGCCACAAAAGTAGACGATAAGTTTTGAAAAAGATAAACAAAAGTCATAACTTAGAAGTTGGAATGCTAAAGTTATTCAAATGTAAAAATAATTAAGGATAAGACTACAATTTAGTTCAGATAATGAAACTACACTATAGCCTATTATGTGGACTATAGTGTAGTCCATAGTATTGTCTATAGTTTAGTTTATAGTCTTATCTATAATCTAATCTCCCTTCTAGTCTATTGCGTAGTCTATAGTCTAGTCTATAGTCTAGTCTATAGTCTAGTCTATAGTCTAGTCTATAGTCTAGTCTATAGTCTAGTCTATAGTCTAGTCTATAGTCTAGTCTATAGTCTAGTCTATAGTCTAGTCTATAGTCTAGTCTATAGTCTAGTCTATAGTCTAGTCTATAGTCTAGTCTATAGTCTAGTCTATAGTCTAGTCTATAGTCTAGTCTATAGTCTAGTCTATAGTCTAGTCTATAGTCTATGTCTAGTCTATAGTCTAGTCTATAGTCTAGTCTATAGTCTAGTCTATAGTCTAGTCTAGTCTAGTCTATAGTCTAGTCTATAGTCTAGTCTATAGTCTAGTCTATAGTCCTAGTCTATAGTCTAGTCTATAGTCTAGTCTATAGTCTAGTCTATAGTCTAGTCTATAGTCTATAGTCTATAGTCTAGGTCTATAGTCTAGTCTATAGTCTAGTCTATAGTCTAGTCTATAGTCTAGTCTATAGTCTAGTCTATAGTCCTAGTCTATAGTCTAGTCTATAGTCTAGTCTATAGTCTAGTCTATAATCTAGTCTATAGTCCTAGCCTATAGTCTAGTCTATAATCTAGTCTATAGTCTAGCCTATAGTCTAGCCTATAGTCCTAGTCTATAGTCTAGTCTATAGTCTAGCCTATAGTCCTAGTCTTATAGTCTAGCCTATAGTCTAGTCTATAGTCTAGTCTATAGTCTAGTCTATAGTCTAGTCTATAGGTCTAGTCAATAGTCTAGTCTATAGTCTAGTCTATAGTCCTAGTCTATAGTCTAGTCTATAGTCTAGTCTATAGTCTAGTCCTATAGTCTAGTCTATAGTCTAGTCTATAGTCTAGTCTATAGTCTAGTCTATAGTCCTAGTCTAGTCTATAGTCTTATTCTATAGTCTAATCTATAGTCTAGTCTATAGTCTAGCCTATAGTCTAGTCTATAGTCTAGCCTATAGTCTAGTCTATAGTCTAGTCTATAGTCTAGTCTATAGTCTAGTCTATAGTCTAGTCTATAGTCTAGTCTATAGTCTAGTCTATAGTCTAGTCTATAGTCTAGTCTATAGTCTAGTCTATAGTCTAGTCTATAGTCTAGTCTATAGTCTAGTCTATAGTCTAGTCTATAGTCTAGTCTATAGTCTAGTCTATAGTCTAGTCTATAGTCTAGTCTATAGTCTAGTCTATAGTCTAGTCTATAGTCTAGTCTATAGTCTAGTCTATAGTCTAGTCTATAGTCTAGTCTATAGTCTAGTCTATAGTCTAGTCTATAGTCTAGTCTATAGTCTAGTCTATAGTCTAGTCTATAGTCTAGTCTATAGTCTAGTCTATAGTCTAGTCTATAGTCTAGTCTATAGTCTAGTCTATAGTCTAGTCTATAGTCTAGTCTATAGTCTAGTCTATAGTCTAGTCTAGTCTATAGTCTAGTCTATAGTCTAGTCTATAGTCTATAGTCTAGTCTATAGTCTAGTCTATAGTCTAGTCTTATAGTCTAGTCTATAGTCTAGTCTATAGTCTAGTCTATAGTCTAGTCTATAGTCTAGTCTATAGTCTAGTCTATAGTCTAGTCCTAGTCTAGTCTAGTCTATAGTCTAGTCTATAGTCTAGTCTAGTCTATAGTCTAGTCTATAGTATAGTCTATAGTCTAGTCTACAGTCTAGTCTATAGTCTAGTCTATAGTCTAGTCTATAGTCTAGTCTATAGTCTAGTCTATAGTCTAGTCTATAGTCTAGTCTATAGTCTAGTCTATAGTCTAGTCTATAGTCTATAGTCTAGTCTATAGTCTAGTCTATAGTCTAGTCTATAGTCTAGTCTATAGTCTAGTCTATAGTCTAGTCTATAGTCTAGTCTATAGTCTAGTCTATAGTCTAGTCTATAGTCTAGTCTATAGTCTAGTCTATAGTCTAGTCTATAGTCTAGTCTATAGTCTAGTCTATAGTCTAGTCTATAGTCTAGTCTATAGTCTAGTCTATAGTCTAGTCTATAGTCTAGTCTATAGTCTAGTCTATAGTCTAGTCTATAGTCTAGTCTATAGTCTAGTCTATAGTCTAGTCTATAGTCTAGTCTATAGTCTAGTCTATAGTCTAGTCTATAGTCTAGTCTATAGTCTAGTCTATAGTCTAGTCTATAGTCTAGTCTATAGTCTAGTCTATAGTCTAGTCTATAGTCTAGTCTATAGTCTAGTCTATAGTCTAGTCTATAGTCTAGTCTATAGTCTAGTCTATAGTCTAGTCTATAGTCTAGTCTATAGTCTAGTCTATAGTCTAGTCTATAGTCTAGTCTATAGTCTAGTCTATAGTCTAGTCTATAGTCTAGTCTATAGTCTAGTCATAGTCTAGTCTATAGCTAGTCTATAGTCTAGTCTATAGTCTAGTCTATAGTCTAGTCTATAGTCTAGTCTATAGTCTAGTCTATAGTCTAGTCTATAGTCTAGTCTATAGTCAGTCTATAGTCTAGTCTATAGTCTAGTCTATAGTCTAGTCTATAGTCTAGTCTATAGTCTAGTCTAGTCTATAGTCTAGTCTATAGTCTAGTCTATAGTCTAGTCTATAGTCTAGTCTACAGTCTAGTCTATAGTCTAGTCTATAGTCTAGTCTATAGTCTAGTCTATAGTCTAGTCTATAGTCTAGTCTATAGTCTAGTCTATAGTCTAGGTCTATAGTCTAGTCTATAGTCTAGTCTATAGTCTAGTCTATAGTCTAGTCTATAGTCTAGTCTATAGTCTAGTCTATAGTCTAGTCTATAGTCTAGTCTATAGTCTAGTCTATAGTCTAGTCTATAGTCTAGTCTTAGTCTAGTCTATAGTCTAGTCTATAGTCTAGTCTATAGTCTAGTCTATAGTCTAGTCTATAGTCTAGTCTATAGTCTAGTCTATAGTCTAGTCTATAGTCTAGTCTATAGTCTAGTCTATAGTCTTGTCTATAGTCTAGTCTATAGTCCATGCTCTATTCTATAGTGTAGTCTATAGTCAAGTGCATAGTTTAGTCCAAAGTCTAGTCTATAGTGTATATAGTCTAGCTTATGGTCCAGTCTATAGTCCAGTCTATATTCTACTCTATAGTCTAGTTAAAACTCCTTCACTTACCGTCTGTTGTCCCAACATACTGCGAGCCTTGGTTACACGTTTTTTGCAGGCATCCAAATCAAGCCTTAAAATTATGCCACAAATATAACAAAATTAGCTAACTTCCTAATCTCATTTCAAACATACCTCTTTGTTTCCAAAACACCCCTTTCCTTGGTAATTGTTTTCATTTCACCCTCCAGAAACTTACGCAAAGGTGTGGTAAAACATATGCTGGACGAAGCAATAAAATCTCTTTCACATTTACCCAGTCTCTGCTCGGCCTGGCCGACTTTAATTAAAGCCTGACCATAGGGTAAATCTTGGCCAAAGTCAGCCCCAGCCTCCAGCATATCCAAAGCCAAATATTCCAGATTACTCAAGCGTTGTGGTTTCGATTTATCAATTTTCTCAAAAATAAAATCCTCTACACGATTTTGAGGATTTGGCACCAATACAGATTCAACATCCTTGACAATTTTCTCTGTCCAAGTTTTGGTGACATCGGCACGTTCGGCCAAATTTTGAAATTCTGAATCATATTCTGTGCGTTCGGTTGTACCAAAACGTTCTTCGGTAAGCTATAAATAATAAAAAACAAATAAAACAAATCAAGGATAAATACAAAAATTGCATAAAATAGTCAATAATTTTATCTTTGCAGTTTTATTAAAAAAAAAAAACATAACATTCCAATACATATTGTTTAGACTACCCCCAACTTACCTGCACTACTCTGGAAAATGTACTGCCTGCCTCCTTAACCAAATTTTTCATATTAAAATTTGGTACATGAAAATTCATTTTGCTGTTTTGTTATTTATGTCTTTTTCAATATTAATTAACTTTCTTTTAGAATAAATAAAAATTAGATTTTTTTATTATTTAATGAACAATTTAAAGAATTTCTTATTTTTTATCCTTTTTCTGTAGTTAGATAACTTTAGCAAGTATGTAATTAATAAAAAATTATTCTTAAAGAAAACTTGAACTGTTTCCAACGGATGTTAGTAAATATTGAATTTCCAATAAGAATTTTTTGAAGGAAATAACATTTCTGTATATGTGTAGGTGTATAGTAAAACCAAAAATTGCCAACTTTATTTATAAATTTAACAATTCAGTTGGCAACTCCTTAAACATATGTTATTTGTTTATAGCCGCTATTCACTGTTAATGGTTAACATAAAAAAATAATTATTAGTTGATTTGTTTTGGTGTGAAGAACTGTGATTTTGTTAGTTGTGCTTTTTTTTTAAGAAAAAAATGGGTAAGTTTAAGTTCAAAATTTAATTAGTTATTAAAAATCAGGAAATAAACTTCGAAGTTAATGACGTAAATACAAATTGTAATAATATTCTTCTTAATTATAAGTGAAATCATAGATTTAATAGCTGGCTGCTTCCCCCAAGCTAAACTTAGAAACAAACTTAATTTTTTCTAGAAAATCATAATAAAAATGAATTTTTATTATAATAAACACGATAACAAGATATTTGTCATTGTTTCTTTGTTATTTTTATATACTATATACTTAAATATTTATAATTTTTTAATGAACGCCAAAAGTGTAATTCCCTCTTTAATTTCTTAAGCGTTGTAGGGCTGCCGCTACTAATAACTTGCAATAGATTTTAGGGTATTCCTAAAATAAAAGTTTAAAAAAAAAAACTAACTTAAACTTTTATTTATATTCTCAATTATATTGGATTATAGACTGATTTATAATCAGCAATTTACTGACTATAGATTGATTTATAGTTTTGATTATAGACTGAACTATAGTCTAGAGTCTGGACTATAGAGTGATCAATAGTGTGGACTATAGAGTAATTGAAATTGTGGAGTATAGAGTGATCTATAGTGTGGACTATAGAATGATCAAAATTCTAGACTCTGGGCTATAGAATGATCCTTAGTATAGACTATAGATTGATCTATATTCTGGACTATAGACTGATCTATAGTCTAGACTATAGACTGATCTATAGTCTAGACTACAGACTGATCTATAGTCTGGTCTATAAAGCGATCTATAGTCTAGACTATAAAGCGATATATAAGTCCGGGCTATAAAGCGATCTATAGTCTGGGATATAAAGTGATCTATAGTCTTGACTATATAGCGATCTATAGAGAGATCTGTAGTCTGGAGTGTAGACATATCTCTGTCTGGACTATAAGCAGACCTTTAATCTGGACTATAAACTGATCTATAATAAATCTTGAATATAGACTGATGTATAGTCTGGACTATAGACTGATCTATTGCCTTGACTATAGACTGATCTGTAGTCTGAACTAAAGACTGATCTGTTGTCTCGACTATAGACTGATCTGCAGTCTGGACTAGAGACTGTTCTCTTATTTTGGAGAATTGATTGATCTGTAGCCTGGACTATAGACTGATCTGTAGACTGATCTATAATCTGGACTATAGGTTAATCTATAGTATGAACTAAAGATTGATCTATAATATGTTCTGACCTTTATTCTTTAGACTAATCTTTATTCTGGCCTATAGACTGATCATCCCTACTATTAAACGATTAGAAATTGTGATTCGTTAAATATTTTTTCATATTCCAGCCATATTGCCTTAAGACTTATTACATACTGATCATCAATCAAAATCTAAAAATTATTTTTTTAATAAATAAAAAATCTAAACAAACTGGTTTTCTTTAAGAAAAGAAATAAGAACAAACCTTTTTCTAAAAAAGCCGACTCGTCTTTTAATAAAACTCATCAAGTTTAATGAACTTTTTTTTATATTTCTTTTTATTTTTATGTTTTTTTGTGTATTTTCATAATTTATATTAAAGAAAGTTAAATTGATAACTAAAACTATACTACAATTTATTTATTTAACTAAAAATTTTATAAATAATATTTAAACTAAATTTATAAAATGTAAACCCTTAATTAAACTACCACTATGTGTATCCAAATCTCTAAATTGTATACCCTCCACAGAGGAGGAAAACAAACTACAGGGATATTCAGCTCCCTGACTTTGGGCAGGACGCCATATGAGTTTTATTTGATATTCTATATCGGGCGATAGAACAATACCCTTGGACCATTTTATACTTAAATCACAATTATATTTTGTTAATTGTTTTGTGACCTCATAGGACCACAGCAGACTTGAGTCATAGTTGGGTGCAGTAATTTCTATGCGTAAATTCTCAAAATAATCTGAGGGCACATGCATGCGCGTTAAATGGGGTGTAAGGCGACTTTGTAGGGTGAGGCCTTGCAGAGAAATAAACCTATTCGATTTTATATGTGTGCACCATTCATAATTATCATAATCAATATTAAAGGGGCGACAGGCCTTGTAATAGCATCTTTCTATAGTTTGTGTATACTGTGGTTTTAAGTTCTCCTTAGCTTCTAAAGGCAGCATGGGCTCCGTCAAATTGAGATCTTGTATAATGTTGGAACATTCACTTGATTTCAAACCCATTTCCACACACTCTTGTTGGCACCATTCATATATAAACCATAAAAGATTTTGGGCGGGTATCTGCTCTTTACATAGATTTATTATAGTTTTAATACAATCCTTGGACACATGATAATAGTGTGCTTTCAAATAGGCCACAAATTGTGATTCACTGAGGCAGCAGCGTGTAAAGAAATTCATGCAAATATTCAATAAACTATTGAGATCTAAACAAATACTTAATTCCAATGAAGCCAAAATATTGGAAAATCTCAATTTCATTTGTATATTCTCCAAACATTCCGACTTCAATTCATTTAACAAGTACTTTTCGGCTCCATAATACAACTCAATGGTTTCCTCTAAAGATAAATTATGAAAATCAATGGATCCTTTGTAAATATATAAAATCATAAGTTGAAATATTTCCTCGCTCATATCTAAAATCTCCACAAAACTTTCGGCCTCACTAATGGGTCCATAGAACATGGCCTCAAATACTGGACTGGCTGTGGCCAATATTAATTTATGGCACTTTACTTTACCCGCCTCGCCCACCACAAACACACAGTCACAGTATTTTTCCGTAGCCAGCAGCTGTTCATAACGTCGACTCAAAGCCATTTGTTGTTGTGAAGATTTCTTAAAATTTTCTATCAGAAAATCATTTTTTAAGTTTATGGCTGCTAAAGCGGACGACATCTGCAAAAAAAAAAAAAGAGAAAGTTTTAGTTAAATTTATTTTAAAAAATCAAATAAAATAACGATTTTTTGTAAAACAGCTAAAGAAATGCAAAAACACTTCATCAAAGATTTTAACCACCAATTAGCATTTTATATCTTTTAAATATTTTTAAAATACATGAATATTAATTAATGAGAAAATTACCGGTTATTTCAACCGTTAGAATTCAAATTTTTTATGTAAATTTTTAAGAAAAGAAAAAATGTTATAACATGATAAATATTTGGGTAAAACTTTTTAGAAAAACGTGCATGAATATTTATAGTTTTTGACAATATCAGTTTTTTCTTTTGAAAGATTTAACTTAAAAAATGTGTGCTATCTATGGTTACATAATTAGCACAACTAACTTTTAAACAAGAAAAGTAATTATAGATATTTTTATGACCTTTCTCCTTTTGTTAAATAAATGTTATATAAATAAAAAGCTACATATTTGAACCACAAAAAAAATATTAATTTAAAAATGTCTCAATTATAGATTGATCTATAGTCTAGTCTAAAGTCTAGTCTATAGTATAGTCTAATCTATAATCTAGTCTATAGTCTAGTATAGAGGTAAGTATAGTTTATAGTATAGTCTAAAGCCTAGTCTATAGTCTAGTCTATAGTCTAGTCTATAGTCTAGTCTATATTCTAGTCTATAGTCTAGTCTATAGTCTAGTCTATTATCTAATCTATAGTCTAGTCTAGTCTATAGTCTAGCCTATAGTCTAGTCTATAGTCTAGTCTATAGTCTAGTCTAGTCTATAGTCTAGTCTATATTCTAGTCTATATTCTAGTCTATATTCTAGTCTATATTCTAGTCTATAGTCTAGTCTATAGTCTAGTCTATAGTCTAGTCTATAGTCTAGTCTATAGTCTAGTCTATAGTCTAGTCTATAGTCTAGTCTATAGTCTAGTCTATAGTCTAGTCTAGTCTAGTCTATAGTCTAGTCTATAGTTTAGTCTATAGTCTAGTCTATATACTAGTCTATAGTCTAGTCTATAGTCTTGTCTATAGTCTTGCCTATAGTCTAGTCTATAGTCTAGTATGTAGTCTAGTCTATAGTCTAGTCAATAGTCTAGTCAATACTCTAGTCAATAGTCTAGTCAATAGTCCAGTCTATAGTCTAGTATATATTCTAGTCTATAGTCTAGTCTATAGTCTAGTCTAGTCTATGGTCTAGTCTATAGTCTAGTCTATAGTCTAGTCAATAGTCTAGTCAATAGTCTAGTCAATAGTCAATAGTCTAGTCAATAGTCTAGTCAATAGTCTATTCTACAGTCTAGTCTATAGTCTAGTATATATTCTAGTCTATGTCTAATCTATAGTCTATGGTCTAGTCTATAATCTAGTCTATAGTCTAGTCTATAGTCTAGTCTATAGTCTAGTCTATAGTCTAGTCTATAGTCTAGTCTATAGTCTAGTCTATAGTCTAGTCTATAGTCTAGTCTATAGTCTAGTCTATAGTCTAGTCTATAGTCTAGTCTATAGTCTAGTCTATAGTCTAGTCTATAGTCTAGTCTATAGTCTAGTCTATAGTCTAGTCTATAGTCTAGTCTATAGTCTAGTCTATAGTCTAGTCTATAGTCTAGTCTATAGTCTAGTCTAGTCTAGTCTATGGTCTAGTCTATAGTCTAGTCTATAGTCTAGTCAATAGTCTAGTCAATAGTCTAGTCAATAGTCAATAGTCTAGTCAATAGTCTAGTCAATAGTCAATAGTCTATTCTACAGTCTAGTCTATAGTCTAGTCTATAGTCTAGTCTATAGTCTAGTCTATAGTCTAGTCTATAGTCTAGCCTATAGTCTAGTCTATAGTCTAGTCTATAGTCTAGTCTATAGTCTAGTCTATAGTCTATAGTCTAGTCTATAGTCTAGTCTAAAGTCTAGTCTATAGTCTAGTCTATAGTCTAGTCTATAGTCTAGTCTATAGTCTAGTCTATAGTCTAGTCTATAGTCTAGTCAATAGTCTAGTCAATAGTCTAGTCAATAGTCAATAGTCTATTCTACAGTCTAGTCTATAGTCTAGTATATATTCTAGTCTATGTCTAATCTATAGTCTATGGTCTAGTCTATATCTAGTCTATAGTCCTAGTCTATAGTCTAGTCTATAGTCTAGTCTATAGTCTAGTCTATAGTCTAGTCTATAGTCTAGTCTATAGTCTAGTCTATAGTCTAGTCTATAGTCTAGTCTATAGTCTAGTCAAGTCTAGTCTATAGGTCTAGTCTATAGTCTAGTCTATAGTCTAGTCTATAGTCTATTCTAGTCTATAGTCTAGTCTAAATAGTCTAGTCTATAGTCTAGTCTATAGTCTAGTCTATAGTCTAGTCTATAGTCTAGTCTATAGTCTAGTCTATAGTCTAGTCTAGTCTAGTCTATAGTCTAGTCTATAGTCTAGTCTATAGTCTAGTCTATAGTCTAGTCTATAGTCTAGTCTATAGTCTAGTCTATAGTCTAGTCTATAGTCTAGTCTATAGTCTAGTCTATAGTCTAGTCTATAGTCTAGTCTATAGTCTAGTCTATAGTCTAGTCTATAGTCTAGTCTAGTCTAGTCTATAGTCTAGTCTATAGTCTAGTCTATAGTCTAGTCTATAGTCTAGTCTATAGTCTAGTCTATAGTCTAGTCTATAGTCTAGTCTATAGTCTAGTCTATAGTCTAGTCTATAGTCTAGTCTATAGTCTAGTCTATAGTCTAGTCTATAGTCTAGTCTATAGTCTAGTCTATAGTCTAGTCTATAGTCTAGTCTATAGTCTAGTCTATAGTCTAGTCTATAGTCTAGTCTATAGTCTAGTCTATAGTCTAGTCTATAGTCTAGTCTATAGTCTAGTCTATAGTCTAGTCTATAGTCTAGTCTATAGTCTAGTCTATAGTCTAGTCTATAGTCTAGTCTATAGTCTAGTCTATAGTCTAGTCTATAGTCTAGTCTATAGTCTAGTCTATAGTCTAGTCTATAGTCTAGTCTATAGTCTAGTCTATAGTCTAGTCTATAGTCTAGTCTATAGTCTAGTCTATAGTCTAGTCTATAGTCTAGTCTATAGTCTAGTCTATAGTCTAGTCTATAGTCTAGTCTATAGTCTAGTCTATAGTCTAGTCTATAGTCTAGTCTATAGTCTAGTCTATAGTCTAGTCTATAGTCTAGTCTATAGTCTAGTCTATAGTCTAGTCTATAGTCTAGTCTATAGTCTAGTCTATAGTCTAGCCTATAGTCTAGTCTATAGTCTAGTCTATAGTCTAGTCTATAGTCTAGTCTATAGTCTAGTCTATAGTAGTCTATAGTCTAGTCTATAGTCTAGTCTAAAGTCTAGTCTATAGTCTAGTCTATAGTCTAGTCTATAGTCTAGTCTATAGTCTAGTCTATAGTCTAGTCTATAGTCTAGTCTATAGTCTAGTCTATAGTCTAGTCTATAGTCTAGTCTATAGTCTAGTCTATAGTCTAGTCTATAGTCTAGTCTATAGTCTAGTCTATAGTCCAGTCTATAGTCTAGTCTATAGTCTAGTCTATAGTCTAGTCTATAGTCTAGTCTATAGTCTAGTCTATAGTCTAGTCTATAGTCTAGTCTATAGTCTAGTCTATAGTCTAGTCTATAGTCTAGTCTATAGTCTAGTCTATAGTCTAGTCTATAGTCTAGTCTATAGTCTAGTCTATAGTCTAGTCTATAGTCTAGTCTATAGTCTAGTCTATAGTCTAGTCTATAGTCTAGTCTATAGTCTAGTCTATAGTCTAGTCTATAGTCTAGTCTATAGTCTAGTCTATAGTCTAGTCTATAGTCTAGTATAGTCTAGTCTATAGTCTAGTCTATAGTCTAGTCTAGTCTAGTCTATAGTCTAGTCTATAGTCTAGTCTATAGTCTAGTCTATAGTCTAGTCTATAGTCTAGTCTATAGTCTAGTCTATAGTCTAGTCTATAGTCTAGTCTATAGTCTAGTCTATAGTCTAGTCTATAGTCTAGCCTATAGTCTAGTCTATAGTCTAGTCTATAGTCTAGTCTATAGTCTAGTCTATAGTCTAGTCTATAGTCTAGTCTATAGTCTAGTCTATAGTCTAGTCTAAAGTCTAGTCTATAGTCTAGTCTATAGTCTAGTCTATAGTCTAGTCTATAGTCTAGTCTATAGTCTAGTCTATAGTCTAGTCTATAGTCTAGTCTAAAGTCTAGTCTATAGTCTAGTCTATAGTCTAGTCTATAGTCTAGTCTATAGTCTAGTCTATAGTCTAGTCTATAGTCTAGTCTATAGTCTAGTCTATAGTCTAGTCTATAGTCTAGTCTATAGTCTAGTCTATAGTCTAGTCTATAGTCTAGTCTATAGTCTAGTCTATAGTCTAGTCTATAGTCTAGTCTATAGTCTAGTCTATAGTCTAGTCTATAGTCTAGTCTATAGTCTAGTCTATAGTCTAGTCTATAGTCTAGTCTATAGTCTTAGTCTATAGTCTAGTCTATAGTCTAGTCTATAGTTAGTCTATAGTCTAGTCTATAGTCTAGTCTATAGTCTAGTCTATAGTCTAGTCTATAGTCTAGTCTATCTAGTCTATAGTCCAGTCTATAGTCTAGTCTATAGTCTAGTCTATAGTCTAGTCTATTGTCTAGTCTATTGTCTAGTCTATAGTCTAGTCTATAGTCTAGTATATTGCCTAATCTATAGTATAGTATTATGCCTAATCAATAGTCTATCCTAAAGTCTTGATTATAGTCTCGACTAGACTAGACTGTAGGCTAAACCACAGTCTAACTTTCAAACTAAGTAATATGTTTCATATAATTCTATTTTTAATTTAATGTCAATTATTCTAATGTAATCTTTTATATAAGAAAACATTTTTAACATTTACAATTTTTTTTAAAATTATTGAACTTGAGTAAAATGTTAAGGTCGTAATTATTGCTATTAGCAATCTTCAAAGTGTTAAAGTGGTTAAAACACGTGAATAAAACTAATTTGTATGCAAAAAATGTTAAAAGATTTGGTGTAAAAACACAATATATGAGGAGTGTTATAAGTTAAACTGGGGTTAATTTACTATATTCATATAGAATTTTAGAAAATAGTTGTTTGTTTAAAAAAACTTTTAAAACCCCACTCGTCAATTTATTTTAGTTCCTACATTAATTTTATTAATATTTTTAACGTGGAGGGAGTTTACCTTTTTTTGATTGTTTGTTTTTAGAATTATTTAACTAAACACATGTTAACGTACGTTTAAAGAATTGTTTATTAATTGTTGTTATGCTATCTACTAAATAAAATATAATTTGTTTTTGTTTAAAATAAGTTTTACCTCATAAACTTGTTTATTTTTTTCTTTTCAACACTAGATATTAACCGGCAAAAATATTAAAATGATGACAAAACAATTTCATTTGAAAAATTATACATGTTTTAACAATAAAGCAAAATAATCTACAACAATTATAAATAATATCCAAACAAACCTCTACTACGTAGTATTTAGTTAATTATTTTCAAAATCTCTATTTGAGTTTATAATAAAAACGATCTCGAGAATAAAAGGTAAACATTGATTATTTACTTAATCTCTTTTTACTACTACAGCTCTCAAATGTTATTGTTTTATTTTTATTCTAACACAATGATCAATAAAATAGAAGAGTATTAGTTACCAAGGTGACCAGATAGTATATATATTAACGCAATAGAAAATTTGCCAGATTGTTGAAAACTATAAGGCTGTTCACCTTTCATTGAATATGCAAACGTTCTTCAAATGTTATTATTAAGGTGAAAATTACACGGAATAACAAAAAAAAAAAAAAAATGGCAAATAGTTTAAATTAATTACGAAATAGTTATTTTTGTTTAGCTTTACGCTGCGGAAATGAATTCGTTGAGAACCCCTTCTAATGGTCAACTTTTCTACAGAAAAAGTGTGATCAGACTCTGATTACTACATTTCTATAGAAAATATAGGCTAAACTCTAGACTTGATTATAGACTAGACTATAGACTAGACTATAGACTAGACTATAGACTAGACTATAGACTAGACTATAGACTAGACTATAAACTAGACTATAGACTAGACTACAAACTAGACTATAGACGAGACTATAGACAAGACTAAACTACAGACTTGTCTAAAATACACAAAAGGTTACACTATAGACTAGACAATAGGCTAGACTATAGACTGGACTATAGAATAGACTACAGACTAGACTATAGAATAGCTTATAAACTAGACTGTAGACTACACTATAGACTGCACTATAGACTACAGACTAGACTACAGACTAGACTACAGACTAGACTACAGACTAGACTACAGACGAGACTATAGACTAGACTGTAGACTGGAGACAAGACTAACCTATAGACTAAAATACACAACATGTTACACAATAGACTAGACTATAGACTAGACTACACACTAAACTACAGACTAGACTATAGACTAGACTATAGACTAGACTACAGACCAGACTATAGACTAGACTTTAGACTAGACTATAGACTAGACTATAGACTAGACTATAGACTAGACTATAGACTAGACTATAGACTAGACTATAGACTAGACTATAGACTAGACTATAGACTATAGACTAGACTACAGACTAGACTATAGACTAGACTATAGACTAGACTATAGACTAGACTATAGACTAGACTATAGACTAGACTATAGACTAGACTATAGACTAGACTATAGACTAGACTATAGACTAGACTATAGACTAGACTATAGACTAGACTATAGACTAGACTATAGACTAGACTATAGACTAGACTATAGACTAGACTATAGACTAGACTATAGACTAGACTATAGACTAGACTATAGACTAGACTATAGACTAGACTAGACTATAGACTAGACTATAGACTAGACTATAGACTAGACTATAGACTAGACTATAGACTAGACTACTAGACTAGACTAGACTATAGACTAGACTGTAGACTAGACTATAGACTTGACTATAGACTAGACTATAGACTAGACTATAGACTAGACTATAGACTGGACTATAGACTAGACTATAGAATAGCTTATAAACTAGACTGTAGACTACACTATAGACTGCACTGCAGAGTATAAACTACACTATAGACTAGACTATAAACTTGACTATAGGCTGCACTATATACTAGACTATAAACTAGATTTTAGACTACACTATAGATTAACCTATTGACTAGACTATAGACTAAACTATAGAGTAGATTATTGACTAAACAATAGAGTCGACTATACTAGACTGTACAGTAGACTGAGACTAAACTATAGCCTAGACTATAGACTAGACTAGACTATAGGCTAGACTATAAACTAGACTACAGACTACAATATAGACTATACTATAGACTGGATTGTAGACTATGGACTAGACTAGACTAGACTATAGACTAGACTATAGACTAGACTATAGACTAGACTATAGACTAGACTATAGACTAGACTATAGACTATACTATAGACTAGACTATTTACTAGACTATAGACTAAACTATAGAGTCGACTATACTAAACTGTAGAGTAGACTATAGACTAGACTACAGACTATAATATAGACTAGACTATAAACTTGACTATACAAGATATGTGATCACTGATCGCAGTCTGATCAACGTTTCTATAGAATATTTGTAATCAGAGTCTATACAACATTTTAAATTTCAAACAATCAAAACATTTTTAAACCTAGAATATTTAAAGATCAATTTCCATTATTCACTTATACTTAATAGCAAAAAACTGTTTAAAACAATCACATTTTCTTTAAATAAACATTAAGTTTATTTATTTAAATACATCTGTTTACTTTTCCATATAAAAGAAGAATATTCTCATTCATTCTTAAAAAAAACATGTGTTTGTATTATTAATTAGTTGTCATCTTCATTTTTAAAATATTCAATTTCTTACCGTATAATTTTAGAAGTTTTTTTTAAAGTTTGTTTAGCTAGATCTTAAAACGGTGGCGACAGTTGTTTGTATTAGTTTGCAATTATTTTTTTGTAATTATAAAAGTTAATAAACAATTTTTTTGTTTAGTTTTATAGAATTTCATTAATTTATTTTTCTCTATTTTAAGTGCATTTAAGCAAAATTTTGTGTTTGTTTTTGATTATGGTCAAGTATAAATAAATTATTGCGCAAAAATAATTAATTATTCTGTGTGGTTTTTTTTTGTCAATTTTACAAAATAAAATGACACAATTGTTTAAATTTTTTTCATATTTATTTGGAATATTCACTGCAAAATAACAAACGAAAGTTTTTTTCTCAATTTATTTTAATTTGTGCAAAAAAAAAGTTTCTTGAACTTGACCAATATCGTTTGGTTTTTATTTTATTAGCAGCTGATTTTTGTAATTAATCGAAAAAAACTGACGTTCTAAATTGTATATTTCTTTTTGATTTTATCTTCTTTTTGCGCTTTAACGTTCTTTTACCGCCAACTTTTAATACACAACTGACTGAAACTTTTTAAATGTTTTGTATTTTATGATCATTGCTCAAGCATTTCGAAAATGTATTCAGCTAAAATTCTCTTAAGTTATGTTAATATTGTTCTCTTAAGATTTTGAAATGAGCGGAATTGGTGAATGATGTTGCCAAACTGAATTTAAAGAACATTTTAAAAAGTGGGGACTAGACTGTAGACTAGACTATAGACTATACTGTAGAATAGACTATCGACCAGACTGTAGACTAGACTATAGACTCCACTATAGACTAGACTATAGACTCGACTATAGACTCGACTGTAGACTAGACTATAGAGTAAACTGTATACTATAGAATAGACTAGACTATGGACTAGACATAGACTAAAGACTAGACTAAAGACTGGACTAATGACTAAACTATAGACTACACTATAAACTAAACTATAGACTCGACTATGGACTAGACTATAGACTAGACCATAGACTAGACTATAGACTAGACTATAGACTAAACTATAGACTAGACTATGGACAAGACTATTGACTAGACTATAGACTAGACTAGACTAGACTATAGAATAGACTATAGACTAGACTATAGACTAGACTATAGACTAGACTATAGACTAGACTATAGACTAAACTATAGACTAGACTATAGACTAGACTATAGACTAGACTATAGACTAGACTATAGACTAGACTATAGGCTAGACTATAGACTAGACTATAGACTAGACTATAGACTAGACTATAGACTACACTATAGACTAGACTATAGACTAGACTATAGACTAGACTATAGGCTAGACTATAGACTAGACTATAGACTAGACTATAGACTAGACTATAGACTACACTATAGACTAGACTATAGACTAGACTATAGACTAGACTAGACTATAGACTAGACTGTAGACTATAGACTAGACTATAGACTAGACCATAAACTAGATTATAGACTAGACCATAGACTAGATTATAGACCAAACTATAGACTAGACTATAGACTAGACTATAGACTACACTATAGACTACACTATAGACTAGACTATAAACTAGACTATAGACTAGACAATAGACTAGACTATAGACTAGACTATAGACTAGACTATAGACTAGACTATAGACTAGACTATAGACTAGACTATAGACTAGACTATAGACTAGACTATAGACTAGACTATAGACTAGACTATAGACTAGACTATAGACTAGACTATAGACTAGACTATAGACTAGACTTTAGACTAGACTATAGACTAGACTATAGACTAGACTATAGACTAGACTATAGACTAGACTATAGACTAGACTATAGACTAGACTATAGACTAGACTATAGACTAGACTATAGACTAGACTATAGACTAGACTATAGACTAGACTATAGATTAGACTATAGACTAGACTATAGACTAGACTATAGATTAGACTATAGACTAGACTATAGATTAGACTATAGACTAGACTATAGACTAGACTTTAGACTAGACTTTAGAGTAGACTATAGACTAGACTATAGACTAGACCAACGGTTCCCAAAAGGGGGTCCGCGGACCCCTAGTGGTCCGTAGCAAAATCCTAGGGGGTCCGCGAAGACGAACGAAAAAAATCATGAATAAAAAATATTCTCTATATGTTAGAAAATATTAAAAATATCTCCAAATTTTTCATAAGTACTAAAATACACAATTTTTATTCAATAATCCCAGATTTGTTGGTGACTTTTTGAATTTTATTGTTTCGGTCGTTTATCAGGATGAAGCTAGGCCCTATAAATTTATTGTTTCACTTTTATAAAGTAAAGTATTACGTGATTTGTAATTTTTATAAATGTATATGTATCGAAAAAAATGTTTTTATATCAGACGGATAATGATTTGCCTTAGAATTAAATACTGTTACTGGTATCCCGGAATATGAAGTTAGGTCACATTTCATAATACTTTTTTAAATTGTAAGCAAAAGTGTTAATCTAGTTAATTTTAAATATAAATATTCCATTCCGACGAGATACACAGATTTTAACTTCATTTTGTTGTCCAATATTATTAAATCAACATCAGAAAATTCATAGCGTTTTGCGTAAATAGTCAAAACCACGCAGTAAAATAATTCGTAGGTATTTTAAAATTCAAATTTAAGATCCAAATTCACAGTACATTCGCAAAGAGTTCAGGTCATATTTTATGTGGGTAACGCATTCCGCAACAACATCGAAGAAGTCTAACTTTCACATATTTTCCCGAAAACTTAGCTTACATACTCAGCTCACTCCTATGCAATCGCAAAAAAATTTAGAAACATGACTCTTTAAGCACATGTCGACAATACTTGATAAAGAAACCTTTTCGCTGCCTTGACGAGAAATGAACATGAAAGCTCTCACGATCATAAAATTAAACATCATGTTAGAAGTCATTCTATATTTAAAACCATGCAATTGAAAACATTTCCGAAATACTAAATATTCTCAATGTACGGGAATATTTTATAGGGTTTATGGACCAGGACTAAGACAATTTTCGGATGAACAATTATTTATAACAATAAGATATCAAAATATGCATGGGGTCCGTGAAATTAAATAAATTCCTCAAGGGGTCCGCGAAGTAAAAAACGGTGGGAACCGCTGGACTAGACTATAGACTAGACTATAGACTAGACTATAGACTAGACTATAGACAAGACTATAGACTAGACTATAGACTAGACTATAGACTAGACTATAGACTAGACTATAGACTAGACTATAGACTAGACTATAGACTAGACTATAGACTAGACTATAGACTAGACCACAGACTAGACCACAGACTAGACCACAGACTAGACCACAGACTAGACCACAGACTAGACCACAGACTAGACCACAGACTAGACTATATACTAGGCTATAGACTAGACTTTACACTAGACTATAGACTAGACTATAGACTAGACTAGACTATAGACTAGACTATAGACTAGACTATAGACTAGACTATAGACTAGACTATAGACTAGACTATAGACAAGACTATAGACTAGACTATAGACTAGACTATAGACTAGACTTTAGACTAGACTTTAGAGTAGACTATAGACTAGACTATAGACTAGACTATAGACTAGACTATAGACTAGACTATAGACTAGACTATAGACTAGACTATAGACTGGACTATAGACTAGACTATAGACTAGACTATAGACTGGACTATAGACTAGACTATAGACTAGACCACAGACTAGACCACAGACTAGACCACAGACTAGACCACAGACTAGACTATATACTAGGCTATAGACTAGACTTTACACTAGACTATAGATTATACTATAGGCTAGACTATAGACTGAACTATAGACTGAGCTATAGACTATGGACTAGACTTTAGTCTAGACTATATAATAGACTATAGACTGAACCATAGATTGGACAGGATTTTATACTATCGATTAGGATTATAGTAAAAAAAAATCTGGCCACACTTCTACACCTGCGTATACAACATCACTTAAGAGAACCATCGGAAAATACTCAACTCTATAAGAGTATCCATTAGTAACTTAAAATATTATACAATTATATAAATAAAAATAATTTATCTTCATCCAGAACAGCTGCTTTGAAAAATATTTTTCTTTAGTGGTCGTAAAACATTTGATTGTATCCCTCTTTCTTATGGAATGTAAGCAACTCATCTATCTTCATTACATTTTTTTTCCTCAAAATCTTATAATTTTTAAAGTCCTATTAATTTTTTGTCTTACCATCATCTTCTTGTGAAATTCTTTTAAAACCTTGAACCTGTTTTATTCTGCAGAAAGGCAAACAGCCAACCACTCAGTTATGTTGGTTCCTTCGACTTCTTCAGGTATGAAAATTTTTTGTTTGTCTTTTTGCATCTTCAACTTGTTGTGCTAACGTTAAATGAAGCAGCAGCCTTCATTTTTTTTTTCTTCAAGGAATCTTCTACAATTTTCATACACATTTATATTTTATCTGGTCTGGAGTTTATTAAAGACTTTGTTAGTTATTTATAGAATAAAAAAGATTATATAGTGTAGTGTTTAAGGAAAACAATATAAAGTAGAAATACTAAAATACACTGAGAATAATTGTTAAACTTTATTTTGACATGGGGTAAAAACTAGACTATAGGAAAAACTATATATGTATATTAAACTGTAGAATAGACTATAAACAAAATCGTAGATTAGACTATAGACTGGACTATATAGTAGACTGTAGAATAGGGTTCTATAGTTGAAACGAAAAGTCGACTTTTCGACTTTTTTCATTTAGTTAAAAGTCGACTTTTCGACTTTTTGCATTTTATGAAAAGTAGATTTTTCGACTTTTTTCATTTAAATAAAAGTCGACTTTTAGACTTTTCGACTATAAGTATTTTATAAATAGTCGACTTTTCGACTTTTTTCGACTTTCCGACTTTTTTCGACTTTTTTCGACTTTTTTCGACTTTTCGACATTTTCGACTTTTCGACTTTTTTCGACTTTTTCCGATTTTTTTTTGACTTTTCGATTTTTTCGACTTTTTGACTATTTTCGACTTTTCGACTTTTTTCTACTTTTTTCCGACTATTTTTTGACTTTTTTCGAGTTTTTCCGACTATTTTAGAGTTTTTGACTTTTTTTTCCACTTTTTTAAAATTTTTGACTATTTTTGACTTGTTTCTACAATTTTCGATTTTTCGACTTTTTCCGACTTTTCGACTTTTTTCGACTTTTCGACTTTCAGACTTTTCGACTTTTCGGCTTTTTTCGACTTTTATTCACAAAGTCGACTTTTCGACTTTTTTCACAGACGATAGTCGAGTTATCGACTTTTTTGGAACAAAATAGTCGACTTCGACTTATCGACTTTTTTCGACAAAAAGTCGATTGTTCGATTATTCGAAAGTCGATTTATAGAACCCTACTGTAGAATATACTATAGACTAGATCTTAGACTATAGACTAGAATATAGACAAGGTATATACATTCGGCTATACATCGGACATAACTACAGACTAGACTATAGACTAGGCTATAGATTAAACTATAGACTAGGATATAGGCTAGGCTATACACCATAGACTAGACTATAGACTAGGCTAGACTAAAGACTATACTATAAATTTAAACTATTTTTTCTAGATTCTTATAGAAAAGACCATATACTCGATTATTAACTGGACTATAGTCTAGACTATAGACTAGACTATAAACTGAACTACAGACTATATACTGGCCTATATACTAGACTATGCAATAGACTATATACTACACTGCATACTAGACTACACTATAGACTAGACTTTAGGTTATACTATAGACTAGACTGTAGACTATAAACTAGACTATAACCTAGACTACGCTAGGCTAGAGATTAGACTATTAACTGGACTATAGACTAGACTGTAAACTAAACAATAAACTAGACTATAGAATCGACTATAGACTAGACTATTGACTAGATTTTAGAATTGACTATAGGTTACCCTACATTATAGACTAGACGGGACTACAGACTATATACTGGCCTATATACTAGACTATGCAATAGACTATATACTACACTGCATACTAGACTACACTATAGACTAGATTTTAGGTTATACTATAGACTAGAGTGTAGACTATAAACTAGACTATAACCTAGACTATTAACTGGACTATAGACTAGACTGTAAAGTAAACAATAGACTAGACTGTAGAATCGACTATAGACTAGATTATAGAATTGACTATAGGCTACCCTACATTATAGACTAGACGGGACTATAGATTTAACTATTACCTATGCGATAAATTATAAACTATTCCTTAGATTCTTATATCTTAAGTTTGATTTCAATTCTCGTTTTTCTTTTCAGTAATTTTTCGCACCAAGTCCATGCAACGACAATTTTCCCACATACGTTTCATATTCTTGCTAATTATAGTACTCAATACCCTGGATACAAAAGATCACACCACCAGACCGCAAACTTTACATAGAAAACACTTCGAACAAGATTTAAAATATTGCCAAAAGTGTTTTGAACATCAAATAGAAAATTGTTTAAATTTCTTTCACAAAATCGAAGCAGATAATGAGTTTTCCATAAGGCAGCTAATAAACCTATTACCTGAAAGATCTTGCAAAAGAAACAACCAATTGGTGCAGTTAAAAAACTCCCACGAAAAACTGATAACTAAATATTTATTTAAGGCACAAAATTTAGAAACAAGTGAACTGAAAATTAAAGAATTGAAACAAGAATTTTTGGAGCAGCATAATGCTTTACAAGGCATGCAATTTGCTCCTTTAAAGAGTTTTGAAAATTTCATAAAAGCTTTACAGCAAGTGCATTTAAATCTAACAGAAATCACTATTTGGCATTACTTAATAAACAATATACAACCTTTGTTAATGCCCCTACTAGAGCAGCAAAACTTTCCGGTACCCAAAACCTATAAAGTGTGTGGTTTTACCCTTTACCAACAATATGCCGGTCAAGATTTATATCATTATTTCCAAATGGAATTTCCTTTAAAATTGGAAATTTCCAAACAATTACTACAGGCAGCTTTAAAATTTTCCTATGGTTTTAAAAATTACCGTTTCTATATAACCGATCTTACGGCCGATAATATGGTATATGATACAATCAAAAATAAATTATATTTTATCGATTTGGATACTCTATTCATAGTGGATTCATCTAAGGCTAAATACAAATCCTCCATACATAAACATGAGTATATAGAATGTCCGGGTTGTTTTGCTTATTCAGCAGATGATATAGCTTCTTATAATATCAGTGATATAAATGTGTATTCTGCTTGTCAGTTTCTTAGAGAAGATCTATTTAGAGATCACACGAAAGGTTTTCTCTATCCCATACCCCCCGAAGTAAATGAGGCATATCCAAAATTATGGCAGCTATTAAATAAATGTGTTGATTGTCCGGGTTCAGTGTGTTGGGAACGTTTTACGGTAGCTAAGGATTTAATGGCAGTAATTGAGCAGATTCTGGAGAATTAAATTAACATGCAGGAAAGGAAAAAGGTAAGTTTTTTTTTATAATATAAATGAACTATCACAGCATGAGTCCTATGATTACTTACTCGGGAAAAGTAAAAAACACCAAAAAAAATTTAGAAAATTTATTTATTCACTTTCATTAACCTAAATTTTTCAAATTAAACTTTCACCTCCATTGCTTTCTCTAACATTTGTATATCATTCTTTAAATCTTTCAATTGGCCCATCATACTTTTCATCAATTCCCCTTCGGGAGTTTGGGGTGGTTCATAAAGCAACATGCGTATGGATTCCTTAAACATTGCTTCACATTGTCTTAAATAATGATGTAATTCCTCTTCTGTCAGCTCCTTTTCACCAAAACGCAAACGATACAATTCTGCTGAAGCATTTGCCAATTCATATAAAGCAATCGCTTTAAGTCTCGATATACCCGGTTGTATAATATGCAAGACCATAACCAATTCCTGACACAAACGCACTTTCCTCTCGTACACCCGACGGCCAGGTCTCTGTAAACTATTCATAATAACGTTGCGCAATATATTGGCTATATTTTGTTTTATATCCACCATAATATAGTGATTTTTATGTAAAATAGTACTAAGTTTGGCCAAGAGTATTTCGTAACGTCTAAGATCATCTTGGGCATGAAATACTTCTTCTTTGGCTTTATCTATAATGGTTTCCACCTGTTCGGTTCGAAGACTATGGTTGCAGACTGGGCATTGCCATTTTTTGTTGGCAGCTTGGTAGACAATGTAACCTTCTTTATTATTGCCAGCACAGGGAGCACAAATGAAACTACTCATATGAGAACCCATTTCGGTAGGATCCTCACAGCGTGGACAATTGCAGAGGAAGTACTTGCCTTCTTGAAGAATGTGACGTCTTTCGGCAGTGCCCTAGAAACAAATACGTGGAAAAATGATTAATGGTTCACTGAACTAGAACTGAACTAGAACTAAAACTGAACTAGAACTGAACTAAAACTGAACTAGAACTGAACTAGAACTGAACTAGAACTGAACTAGAACTGAACTAGAACTGAACTAGAACTGAACTAGAACTGAACTAGAACTGAACTAGAACTGAACTAGAACTGAACTAGAACTGAACTAGAACTGAACTAGAACTGAACTAGAACTGAACTAGAACTGAACTAGAACTGAACTAGAACTGAACTAGAACTGAACTAGAACTGAACTAGAACTGAACTAGAACTGAACTAGAACTGAACTAGAACTGAACTAGAACTGAACTAGAACTGAACTAGAACTGAACTAGAACTGAACTAGAACTGAACTAGAACTGAACTAGAACTGAACTAGAACTGAACTAGAACTGAACTAGAACTGAACTAGAACTGAACTAGAACTGAACTATAACTGAACTAGAACTGAACTAGAACTGGACTAGAACTGAACTAGAACTGAACTAGAACTGAACTAGAACTGAACTAGAACTGAACTAGAACTGAACTAGAACTGAACTAGAACTGAACTAGATCTGAACTAGAACTAGAACTGAACTAGAACTGAACTAGAACCGAACTAGAACTGAACTAGAACTGAACTAGAACTGAACTAGAACTGAACTAGAACTGAACTAGAACTGAACTAGAACTGAACTAGAACTGAACTAGAACTAAACTAAAACTGAACTAGAACTGAACTAGAACTGAACTAGAACTGAACTAGAACTGAACTAGAACTGAACTAGAACTGAACTAGAACTAGAACTGAACTAGAACTGAACTAGAACTGAACTGAAACAGAACTGGAACTGAACTAGAACTATAACTAAACTAGAACTGAACTAGAACTGAACTAGAACTGAACTAAAACTGAACTGGAACTGAATTAGAACTGAACTAGAATTGAACTAGAACTGAACTAAAACTGAACTAGAATTAAACTAGAACTGAACTAAAACAGAACTAGAACTAGTCAATACGATTTAGTTTTTAAACATTTTTTTATTTTTAGCGCTACACTTACCAACAAAACATTTGTATAACAATTTGTCACCATTTCCTCTTTGTCAATATCACGATTGGCATAGATCTTTATCCGATAAATATCATCAATAGCAACATTTGCATTTGGACAACATTGATGAGATAATAGTGAACCTTTTAAGTACAATGCACTCATAGACGCCATATCAGGTGCTCTAATCTCATAGGTATTTACATCTAAAACGCCACATATATGCTGTAGATATTCTTCATCTATTTTATCAGCCAATTGAAAATATTTCTTAAGATTTGACTTTAATATCGGTTGTATGATTCTCTTATTCCGTTCTTGCCATATTGGGGTATTACGTCTCTTATCCAGGTGGGATTCTAATAGTAGAATTTTGCTAAAATCATCTTTACCATCAGGATTTTCCGATAGCAAGAGGCACTTGATAATGCCATAAGATTCGGGAAATTTTTTTAATTCCTCATGCTTTAAATCGGTCATGGCTGTCAAAGTGTTGCAATCAAATTCACTGTGTTGTGTACAATCCAAACAAAGGGGGGATATCTGACATTTACTGGAATTAGGTCAATATGACGGATATGACTTATTTTCTTTAGCCAAATTTAAGGTTAGTTACTTATTTCACAACCTACCCACAATACTTTTGAGCATATTTAAAACAATTACAGCAACGTTTATCTCCCGCAGTGGGCAAAATTAATATAGGTCTTTCCAGCAATAACGTTTCACCGGCCTTAATTTTATCCACAGCTCTAACATATCTGAAATTTTTCAGAATTTCATATCAAATTAAATAATTTTTTATTTAAGTAATACACTTTATTTATCACCTTCCAATTTCTGGATTTTCTTGTATTTCACACTTATCATTAAACTCCTCCGTCATATTTTCACTTTTTTTACCACGATATTTTTAATAAAAAATGTCTTTTGGATTTATTTTTGCACGGTTTTTAGTACATTTGTTTTAGCAGGTGTCAACTAACCGTAAGTGTAACTAGCGTATAATGAATTAGTCTTTTCGAAATAATTAATTAAAATACGACAATTTTGTTTTTGTTGAGTTTGAAAAAAATAAGGGAAATGTTACGCTACAGATGGTAGACTGACAATTGAAATGAACTAGAACTGAATTGGAACTGAAACTAGAAGTGAACTAGAACTGAACTAGAACTGAATTGGACTGAACTAGAACGAACTAGAACTGAATTGGAACTGTACTAGAACTGAACTAGAACTGAACTAGAACTGAACTAGAACTTGAACTAGAACTGAACTAGAAGAACTAGAACTGAACTAGAACTGAACTAGAACTGAACTAGAACTGAACTAGAACTGAACTAGAACTGAACTAGAACTAGAACTCAAACACTAGAACTGCACGAACTGAACTAGAACTGAACTAGAACTGAACTAGAACTGAACTAGAACTGAACTAGAACTGAACTAGAACTAGAACTGAACTAGAACTGAACTAGAACTGAACTGAACTAGAACTGAACTAGAACTGAACTAGAACTGAACTAGAACTGAACTAGAACTGAACTAGAACTGAACTAAACTGAACTAGAACTGAACTAGAACTGAACTAGAACTGAACTAGAACTGAACTAGAACTGAACTAGAACTGAATTAGAACTGAACTAGAACTGAACTAGAACTGAACTAGAACTGAACTAGAACTGAACTAGAACTGAACTAGAACTGAACTAGAACTGAACTAGAACTCAACTAGAACTGAACTAGAACTGAACTAGAACTGAACTAGAACTGAACTAGAACTGAACTAGAACTGAACTAGAACTGAACTAGAACTGAACTAGAACTGAACTAGAACTGAACTAGAACTGAACTGAACTAGAAACTGAACTGAACTAGAACTGAACTGAACTAGAACTGAACTAGAACTGAACTAGAACTGAACTAGAACTGAACTAGAACTGAACTAGAACTGAACTAGAACTGAACTAGAACTGAACTAGAACTGAATTAGAACTGAACTAGAACTGAACTTAGAACTGAACTAGAACTGAACTAGAACTGAACTAGAACTGAACTAGAACTGAACTAGAACTGAACTAGAACTGAACTAGAACTGAACTAGAACTGAACTAGAACTGAACTAGAACTGAACTAGAACTGAACTAGAACTGAACTAGAACTGAACTAGAACTGAACTAGAACTGAACTAGAACTGAACTAGAACTGAACTAGAACTGAACTAGAACTGAACTAGAACTGAACTAGAACTGAACTAGAACTGAACTAGAACTGAACTAGAACTGAACTAGAACTGAACTAGAACTGAACTAGAACTGAACTAGAACTGAACTAGAACTGAACTAGAACTGAACTAGAACTGAACTAGAACTGAACTAGAACTGAACTAGAACTGAACTAGAACTGAACTAGAACTGAACTAGAACTGAACTAGAACTGAACTAGAACTGAACTAGAACGAACTGAACTAGAACTGAACTAGAACTGAACTAGAACTGAACTAGAACTGAACTAGAACAGAACTAGAACTGAACTAGAACTGAACTAGAACTGAACTAGAACTGAACTAGAACTGAACTAGAACTGAACTAGAACTGAACTAGAACTGAACTAGAACTGAACTAGAACTGAACTAGAACTGAACTAGAACAGACTAGAACTGAACTAGAACTGAACTGAACTAGAACTAGAACTGAACTAGAACTGAAACTAGAACTGAACTAGAACTGAACTAGAACTGAACTAGAACTGAACTAGAACTGAACTAGAACTGAACTAGAACTGAACTAGAACAGAACTAGAACTGAACTAGAACTGAACTGAACTAGAACTAGAACTGAACTAACTAGATCTTAAATAAAAAGTAATTGGAGCTGAACTAGAACTGATAGAAAATTGTACTGAAGCTAAACTTGATCTATATTTTGACTAAAAAAGTTACTTTTTAAACAAAGTGTAGCGTATTTTAGAGTTGTCATACCTATTACATCTATTCTGTATTTTTTTATCTGCATAAGTTCATTTCAATCAATCTTTCTTGTTTTTATGTGTAAATTTTGCATGCAAGCATTATTTTATTTTTGGCCAAATGATGTTGTTTTTTTTTTAATTTTATTTTCAATTTCATTAAATTTCTGTACGATTAGTTTTTTCATAAGACCAATAATAAAATCATCATTTGTTTTAGCGTAAAATTACGCTCACTTACACCGATGGCACTTCTTAATTAGGGGCAGTGAGCGCCAAACTATTAAAAGTAACCAGGATTTTAATCCCAAAATGTATTCGTCTTCCTTCAAATTATATCTTATTTCTAATTTTTTGTCCGATAATGAGAATGCAAAGCATATGTAATAAAACAAACCACAAATTCTCCGACAATTTTTTTTCCCCAAATCATGCTTTTAGAAACCCTGTATCTGTATCGATAGTATTTTATTATTCGCCGTGATAAAACAAATAATATTAAATAACATTTAAATGATGTAATTAAAACAATAAGTTTATTTTAAAAACAAATCATTCGCTATTTTAACATTTTTATATCGGTTTGTAAATATTTCAATTCCTGCAACATAGACTGTAATAATTTCCCCTCCGGAGTTTCTTTGGGTTCATGCAGCAACATGTGAATAGAATCGCGTAACATTAAATCTGATTCCAGTAGTAAGTCCTACAAAAATAGAGAAATACTATATAAATATAAAATTTGAACAACAATTTTCGAATAACAAAAAATACCTGCAAATCCTTTTTACTCAATTCTTTTTCCTGATAACGCAAACGATTATATTCCGCCCAAGTGCTTCCCAGTTCATACATAACAATAGCTTTATGCCTCGATATACCGGGAGCAATTACATTGAGAACCTTCAAAATGTCTTTACATAAATCAATCTTACGCTCATAAACTTTACGTCCGGGACAACAACTGATATCATTAATTATGTTTCTCAATGCTGCCGCTATATTCTGTTTAACATCTATGATCATATAATGCTGAGGATGTAAACTTTTTTCCAACTTTTGTAGCCACATTTCCATTTCCCTTAGATTTTTAGGCTTTTCTAGTTCCTCGTTCTGAAGGTCTTTTAGTACGTGCTCTACATTTTCGTTAGTCTCTTGATGTTTACACTCGATACATTGCCATTTTTCAGTATTCTCTTGCTTTCTAATCATGTAACCGTTATGACAACCGGTACATTTTAAGGTGGACATATGTGATCCTAATTCTTGAGGATCTTCACAACGTTTACAGGTGCAGTAGAAATATTTACCTTCCTGCAGAATTCGTCTACGTTCGGAAGTATTCTGGAAAGATTAAATAACTGAGCTAAAACTGAACTAGAACTGCACTAGAACTGAAATAGAACTAAACTAGAACTTAACTAGAACTGAACTAGGACTGAACTAGAACTGAACTAGAACTGAACTAGAACTGAACTAGAACTGAACTAGAACTGAACTAGAACTGAACTAGAACTGAACTAGAACTGAACTAGAACTGAACTAGAACTGAACTAGAACTGAACTAGAACTGAACTAGAACTGAACTAGAACTGAACTAGAACTGAACTAGAACTGAACTAGAACTAGAACTGAACTAGAACTGAACTAGAACTGAACTAGAACTGAACTAGCACTGAACTTGAACTGAACTAGAACTGAACTAGAACTGAACTAGAACTGAACTAGAACTGAACCTGAACTGAATTAGAACTGAATTAGAACTGAATTAGAACTGAACTAGAACTGAACTAGAACTGAACAAGAGCTGAACTGGAACTGAACTAGAACTGAACTTGAACTAGAACTGAACTAGAACTGAACTAGAACTGAACTAGAACTGAACTAGAACTGAACTAGAACTGAACTAGAACTGAACTAGAACTGAACTAGAACTGAACTAGAACTGAACTAGAACTGAACTAGAACTGAACTAGAACTGAACTAGAACTGAACTAGACTGAACTAGAACTGAACTAGAACTGAACTAGAACTGAACTAGAACTGAACTAGAACTGAACCTGAACTGAATTAGAACTGAATTAGAACTGAACTAGAACTGAACAAGAGCTGAACTGGAACTGAACTAGAACTGAACTTGAACTGAACTAGAACTGAACTAGAACTGAACTAGAACTGAACTAGAACTGAACTAGAACTGAACTAGAACTGAACTAGAACTGAACTAGAACTGAACTAGAACTGAACTAGAACTGAACTAGAACTGAACTAGAACTGAACTAGAACTGAACTAGAACTGAACTAGAACTGAACTAGAACTAAACCAGAACTGAACATGAACTGAATTAGAACTGAATTAGAACTCAACTGGAACTGAACTAGAACTGAACTGGAACTGAACTGGAACTGAACTAGAACTGAACTAGAAATGAACTAGAACTGAACTAGAACTGAACAAGAGCTGAACTGGAACTGAACTAGAACTGAAATAGAACTGAACTAGAACCAAACTAGAACTTAACTAGAACTGAACTAGAACTGAACTAGAACTGAACTAGAACTGAACTAGAACTGAACTAGAACTGAACTAGAACTGAACTAGAACTGAACTAGAACTGAACTAGAACTGAACTAGAACTAAACTAGAACTGAACTAGAACTGAACTAGAACTGAACTAGAACTGAACTAGAACTGAACTAGAACTGAACTAGAACTGAACTGAATTAGAACTGAACTAGAACTGAACTAGAATTGAACTAGAAATGAACTAGAACTGAACTAGAACTGAACTAGAACTGAACTAGAACTGAACTAGAACTGAACTAGAACTGAACTAGAACTGAACTAGAACTGAACCAGAACTGAATTAGAACTGAACTAGAACTGAACTAGAATTGAACTAGAAATGAACTAGAACTGAACTAGAACTGAACAAGAGCTGAACTGGAACTGCACCAGAACTGAACATGAACTGAATTAGAACTGAACTAGAAATGAACTAGAACTGAACTAGAACTGAACTAGAACTGAACTAGAACTGAACTAGAACTTAACTAGAACTGAACTAGAACTGAACTAGAACTGAACTAGAACAGAACTAGAACTGAACTAGAACTGAACTAGAACTAAACTAGAACTGAACTAGAATTGAACTAGAATTGAACTAGAAATGAACTAGTACTGAACTAGAACCAAACAAGAGCTGAACTAGAACTGAACTAGAACTGAACTAGAACTGAACTAGAACTGAACTAGAACTGAACTAGAACTGACCTGGAAATGAACTAGAGCTGATCAATAACTTACCAACATTATATTCGTATAACAATTTGTAACAATTTCACCCGCTTTTATTGCTCTATTAGCATAGATTTTCATACAATATTTATCATCGATCGCTATACAAGTATTGGCCATACAATCATGCGACAGTAGAGCACCCTTAACATAAACACCCTTCATTGAACCCGTATCAGGGGCACGTATTTCAAAACTATTGACATCAATAAAACCACATAAACGTTGTAAAAATTCTCCATTTATCTCGGAACCATGTGATAAGTACTTTAAAATTCCCGATTCTAAAATTGGATCTACTACATTTTTACTATAGTGAAACCAAATTTGTGTATTACGTCTCTGTTCCATATGATTTTCTGCCTGTAAAATAGTCTCGAAATGTTGTTGTGTAAGAGGATTTTCTTGTAGTAATAGAAATTTTATAATGCCATAAGTATCGGGGTATTTTTGTAAGTTATTGATATCTAGATCGGACATAGTTGCTAGTTTCTGGCAGTCATAATCGTAATGTTGTTTACACATTTCACATAAAGGCGTAATTAAGCATGAACTAAACAAATTTCCTTTTATTTTTCAAATATGATCGTGTTAATGCATATTTAACTTACCGGCAGTAATTATGGGTTAATTTGTAACAATTTTGACATCGGTTTTCGCCATTCGAGGCCAATAACAAAGAAGGTTGCTCCAGTAGCACACATTCACCTGCTGTTAGATCCTGTTTGGCCTGAACATATCTATTAATTTTGTGAAAACCTCAGTTATATATTTTGTTTAAATTAGCTTTAAGTTTTACCTTCCCAACTTTTCATTACTTTCTATGGTACATTTTTTCTCAAAATGTTCTTCCATTTGTTCTATATTATAACAGTTTTTTTATATTCTAAAATAAATTTTAAATATATTTTCCCGTTATTAATGCGTTTCTAGACTCTTTAAAGACTGTTGACAACTCAACCAAATGTACCTACACGATATGATTTACTTTCAAATTTTTATATCTCTTGTGCAAAATTTTATAGTTTTGCAAACATTTAAAGAAAAAAACTATATAAAATATTTTGTCTACTCATAAGTAAATATATGTATATTGTACATCACACATATATGTACATATTTATTTATAAGATTAGCTGATTTTTCCCTTTGCAGATACTCACACAATTATGTATTTGCATACTCAGATATTAATTTCTCTGACAGGCTATTAGATTGTGTGATTGTAAGTTTTTTAAAAGGGTGTCGCAAAATTGTAGAATTGGCGAGACAACTATAGAATAGACTATAGTCTGGGCTATATAATAGAGTATAATCTGGACTATAGAATAGACTACAGTCTGGACTATAGAATATAATATAGTCTGGCCTATAGTATACTACAGTCTGAACTATAGAATAGACTATAGCCTGGACTATAGAATAGACTCTTGTCTGGACTATAGAATAGAGTATAGTCTGGACAATAGAATAGACTATAGACTGGACTATAGAATAGACTATAGTCTGGACTATAGAATAGACTATAGTCTGTACTATAGAAGAGGCTATAGTCTGGACTATAGAATAGACCTTAGTCTGGACTATAGAAGAGGCTATAGTCTGGACTATAGAATAGACCATAGTCTGGACTATAGAATAGACTATAGTCTGGACTATAGCATAGACTATAGTCTGGACTATAGAATAGCCTATAGTCTGGACTATAGAATAGCCTATAGTCTGGACTATAGAATAGACTATAGTCCGGACTATAGAATACTATTGTCTGGACTATAGAATATACTATAGTCTGGACTATATAATAGACTATAGTCTGGACTATAGAATAGACTATAGTCCGGACTATAGAATACTATTGTCTGGACTATAGAATAGACTATAGTCTGGACTATAGAATAGACTATAGTCTGGACTATAGAATAGACTATAGTCTGGACTATAGAATAGACTATAGTCTGGACTATAGAATATACTATAGTCTGGACTATAGAATAGACTATAGTCTGGACTATAGAATAGACTATAGTCCGGACTATAGAATAGACTATAGTCTGTACTATAGAAGAGGCTATAGTCTGGACTATAGCATAGACTATAGTCTGGACTATAGAATAGCCTATAGTCTGGACTGTAGAATAGCCTATAGTCTGGACTATAGAATAGCCTATAGTCTGGACTATAGAATAGCCTATAGTCTGGACTATAGAATATACTATAGTCTGGACTATAGAATAAACTATGGTCTGGACTATATAATAGACTATAGTCTGGACTATAGTCCGGACTATAGAATACTATTGTCTGGACTATAGAAGAGGCTATAGTCTGGACTATAGAATAGACTATAGTCTGGACTATAGAATAGACTATAGTCTGGACTATATAATAGACTATAGTCTGGACTATAGAATAGACTATAGAATACTATATAGTCTGGACTATAGAATAGATTATAGTCTGGACTATAGAATAGACTATAGTCTGGACTATAGAATATACTATAGTCTGGACTATAGAATAGACTATAGTCTGGACTATAGAATAGACTATAGTCCGGACTATAGAATAGACTATAGTTTGTACTATAGAAGACGCTATAGTCTGGACTATAGTCTGGACTATAGCATAGACTATAGTCTGGACTATAGAATAGACTATAGTCTGGACTATAGAATAGCCTATAGTCTGGACTATAGAATAGCCTATAGTCTGGACTATAGAATAGCCTATAGTCTGGACTATAGAATAGCCTATAGTCTGGACTATAGAATATACTATAGTCTGGACTATAGAATAAACTATGGTCTGGACTATATAAGACTATAGTCTAGACTATATAATAGACTATAGTCCGGACTATAGAATACTATTGTCTGGACTATAGAAGAGGCTATAGTCTGGACTATAGAATAGACTATAGTCTGGACTATAGAATAGACTATAGTCTGGACTATATAATAGACTATAGTCTGGACTATAGAATAGACTATAGAATACTATTGTCTGGACTATAGAAGAGGCTATAGTCTGGACTATAGAATAGACTATAGTCTGGACTATAGAATATACTATAGTCTGGACTATAGAATATACTATAGTCTGGACTATAGAATATACTATAGTCTGGACTATAGAATATACTATAGTCTGGACTATAGAATAGACTATAGTCCGGACTATAGAATACTATTGTCTGGACTATAGAATAATATTGTCTGGACTATAGAATAGACTAGTCTGGACTCGATTTACATTTGAATCTTCCAATTAAAAAAAAAACGTTTCTTTTTCTAAAAAAATCAAAATATTTTATTTTACATAATCAAAAAACGTAAATTTATTTAGCGGCCAGTTTATGTAAATTTTCTTCAATTTGTTCCTGTTGTATAGAGATGCGTCGTACCAGATGACCCTCCGGTGAATTAACTGGCTCAAACGCTAATAACTCTTTTGCCTCGGCAGCAATTTCTTTGGCAAATTCTAATTTTTTCTATAAATAGAAATTGTTTAGTATAAAATCACTTTAAATTTTAAAATTGTTAATTCTCTTACAACATAAACATCCTTGGACAATTCTTTACAACGAAAATCCAATTCGGATAACTCTAGAAAAGACAGCAAATACTCATACAAAGCTATGGCATATAATTTAGAATAACCCGGTATTACAGACTTCACAACTGGCAGTAATTCCTCGCATAAATCTAAACGTCTTTCTAAAACCTCTTTGCCCGGTTTACACATGGGATTCATTAGTATACTTCTTAAAATGGTGGCAATATTTTGTTTTAAATCAATCATAAGAAAATGATTGGGATGAAAATCTCCAGAATATTTATGTAGTAATTCTTCGTAAGCCATTATATCACCATTAACATTGGCCATTGCCTCAGAGACTTCTGTGAGTAGTTTTTGTACTTGTATAGGATCGATAGTGTTATTGCATTGTTCACAAGACCATTTACCACGATTACAAATAGCAAATCCTTCATTACAGTGTTTACATTTAATCGAACTCATATGGGTACCCAATTCAGTGGGATCTAGACAACGACTGCAGTCACATTCAAAATGTCGAGTCATTCGTAAGTGAAGTTGACGTTGTATGGTGCCCTGAAAAAATAATTGTGAAAAATCCTTAAACAAAATCCAAAAACACATCTAATCCTTACCATCAATGGATTTGTAAATGAATTATAAATAATCTCTCCCGCTTTAATGGGTACTCCAGCATATATTCTCATATTATATTCATCATCTATCGAGGTGGCTGCATTCGGTACACAATGATGTGGCATTTTTGCTGCATGTACATAAATACCCTTCAACGAATCACCCATCACTTTACTGGACACCTCAAAAGCGTTTGCATCTATTAATATACATAATTTATGCAAAAGATCTCCATCTAAACAGTCCTGCTCCTTGGCCCTAGACAAAGTATCCATAAAGCCCGATTGCAATAATGGCTGTACAATATTCTCTTCATGATCTTGCCACATATCACTCTCGCGATATTCATTTAATTTGAAATTATGTGGTAAAAGATTTTGACATTTCTCTGTTGTGTCGGGATTTTCACGTAATAATAAAAGTTTAATTAGTGCATTGAGAGCATAATTATTTATGAGCAAATTTTTGGAAATATGTTTGGCTTGTGTTTGAAAAAATTCACATTCAAAACGATCGTGATCACTGCAATCCATACAAAGCGGAAAGAATTGACATTGTCTGGGGAGAGATTGAGAAATTCTTTAAAGAATTTTTTGAAATAATTGATATGAAAATCTTACTTGCACATGACAAAAGAATCCTCACAACATTTGGAGCATTTCATTTGTTCACATTCCCAGTGAGTGGTGATCAATAAGGGTTGCTCCTCGATTAGTATATCACCGGGTTCTATATCAATGGCTGCTACTAAGTGTCTGTAAAATATATATTTATGTAAACATTTCGACTATTCTATAGTTTGGACTATAGTCTGGACTATAAAATAGACTACAGTCTGAACTTCAGAACAGACTATAGTTTGAACTATAGAACAGACTATATAGCCTGGACTATAGAATAGTCTATAGTCTGGACTATAGAATAGTCTATAGTCTGGACTATAGAATAGTCTATAGTCTGGACTATAGAATAGTCTATAGTCTGGACTATAGAATAGTCTATAGTCTGGACTATAGAATAGTCTATAGTCTGGACTATAGAATAGTCTATAGTCTGGACTATAGAATAGTCTATAGTCTGGACTATAGAATAGTCTATAGTCTGGACTATAGAATAGTCTATAGTCTGGACTATAGAATAGTCTATAGTCTGGACTATAGAATAGTCTATAGTCTGGACTATAGAATAGTCTATAGTCTGGACTATAGAATAGTCTATAGTCTGGACTATAGAATAGTCTATAGTCTGGACTATAGAATAGTCTATAGTCTGGACTATAGAATAGTCTATAGTCTGGACTATAGAATAGTCTATAGTCTGGACTATAGAATAGTCTATAGTCTGGACTATAGAATAGTCTATAGTCTGGACTATAGAATAGTCTATAGTCTGGACTATAGAATAGTCTATAGTCTGGACTATAGAATAGTCTATAGTCTGGACTAGAATAGTCTATAGTCTGGACTAGAGTCTATAGCCTTGACTCTAGAATAGTCTACAGTCTGGACTATAGAATAGTCTTTAGTCTGGACTATAGAATAGTCTATAGTCTGGACTATAGAATAGTCTATAGTCTGGACTATAGAATAGTCTATAGTCTGGACTATAGAATAGTCTATAGTCTGGACTATAGAATAGTCTATAATCTGGACTATAGAATAGTCTATAGTCTGGACTATAGAATAGTCTATAGTCTGGACTATAGAATAGTCTATAGTCTGGACTATAGAATAGTCTATAGTCTGGACTATAGAATAGTCTATAGTCTGTACTATAGAATAGTCCATAGTCTGGACTATAGAATAGTCTATAGTCTGGACTATAGAATAGTCTATAGTCTGGACTATAGAATAGCCTATAGTCTGGACTATAGAATAGTCTATAGTCTGGACTATAGAATAGTCTATAGTCTGGACTATAGAATAGTCTATAGTCTGGACTATAGAATAGTCTATAGTCTGGACTATAGAATAGTCTATAGTCTGGACTATAGAATAGTCTATAGTCTGGACTATAGAATAGTCTATAGTCTGGACTATAGAATAGTCTATAGTCTGGACTATAGAATAGTCTATAGTCTGGACTAAAGAATAGTCCATAGTCTGGACTATAGAATAGTCTATAGTCTGGACTAAAGAATAGTCTATAGTCTGGACTATAGAATAGTCTATAGTCTGGACTATAGAATAGTCTATAGTCTGGACTATAGAATAGTCTATAGTCTGGACTATAGAATAGTCTATAGTCTGGACTATAGAATAGTCTATAGTCTGGACTATAGAATAGTCTATAGTCTGGACTATAGAATAGTCTATAGTCTGGACTATAGAATAGTCTATAGTCTGGACTATAGAATAGTCTATAGTCTGGACTATAGAATAGTCTATAGTCTGGACTATAGAATAGTCTATAGTCTGGACTATAGAATAGTCTATAGTCTGGACTATTGAAGAGTCTATAGCCTTGACTCTAGAATAGTCTACAGTCTGGACTATAGAATAGTCTATAGTCTGGACTATAGAATAGTCTTTAGTCTGGACTATAGAATAGTCTATAGTCTGGACTATAGAATAGTCTATAGTCTGGACTATAGAATAGTCTATAGTCTGGACTATAGAATAGTCTATAGTCTGGACTATAGAATAGTCTATAATCTGGACTATAGAATAGTCTATAGTCTGGACTATAGAATAGTCTATAGTCTGGACTATAGAATAGTCTATAGTCTGGACTATAGAATAGTCTATAGTCTGTACTATAGAATAGTCCATAGTCTGTACTATAGAATAGTCCATAGTCTGGACTATAGAATAGTCTATAGTCTGGACTATAGAATAGTCTATAGTCTGGACTATAGAATAGCCTATAGTCTGGACTATAGAATAGTCTATAGTCTGGACTATAGAATAGTCTATAGTCTGGACTATAGAATAGTCTATAGTCTGGACTATAGAATAGTCTATAGTCTGGACTATAGAATAGTCTATAGTCTGGACTATAGAATAGTCTATAGTCTGGACTATAGAATAGTCTATAGTCTGGACTATAGAATAGTCTATAGTCTGGACTATAGAATAGTCTATAGTCTGGACTATAGAATAGTCTATAGTCTGGACTATAGAATAGTCTATAGTCTGGACTAAAGAATAGTCCATAGTCTGGACTATAGAATAGTCTATAGTCTGGACTAAAGAATAGTCTATAGTCTGGACTATAGAATAGTCTATAGTCTGGACTATAGAATAGTCTATAGTCTGGACTATAGAATAGTCTATATTCCGTTCTTAAGAATAGTCTATATTCCAGTTTAATAAAATATTTTTATTTCTTTAATTTATAATTCTATTATTAGATCCGTTTTTATTTAAATGTTAAGATTTAATTAAACTTTTTTTGGGTAAAATTCTTTAAAATTTTCATTAATTTACACACAAAATTCTTATTTGTCTAACCAAAAACGTCACGCATTACACTTTTTTTTATCAATTGCACTAATCAACCTTGGTTGTCCATTTATTCATATGTCAGCCATAATTACTTTTCCACTAATTTAATATTTTACATAAAAATCTTTTGATATACCTTCCCAATTTTTCATTAAATTCAAATTTAACATTTTCACTAAAATTTTGCATTTTCTAATAAAATTTTCGTTTTCAATATTTATGATTTTTAGAAATATTGCAAAATTCTTTAAATTCTTTTATGTCTACTAGTAGTTCAGGTGTACAGTATAGCGAATGTAAGCGTAATGTGTGTGCGCGATCAATTAACCGATAATTTTCGATCGCTTTTATGTATTTTGCTTGTTTTGAAGTTGGGCCAAAAAGACTAAATGATTTTATTGTTTCATTTGTACAAATCCGAAAGCCAAATGAAAATAAAAATCGGCAGACAACGAACGAGCGAGCTACCAAGTAATTGTCGGTGATGTTGTAGTTATGTACTTGTACTTTTTTCGGTCTTCCATACAGTATTGGGGTGAAGAAATGGAAACATTGTAGAAAGAGAGAAAACTGTTTCTTATGTTTTTATATTTAATAACATGGAATTGATTAAATATTTCTTTTACTTTTACAGTTTTACTTTATTATTGAATAATTAATTTTCATTTTCAGATGTATTTAATCTATTCGTCGCAGACTGTATTACTTTCACATAGAAGATTCCCCACCAATTGAATTTCAACTAAAAATAAGTATTTTCAAGTACAATTGTGTTTTTTCTTTGTGGTTAATTCTTTTTTTTTACAAAAATATTTTTCAAAAAAGCTAAAAAATTTAAGTTAATTAGTTTTTTTTTAAATTAAGTTTTTAAAAAATTTATAAAATTAAAAATATTTAAAAAAATTCCAGTTCTTTCCCTTGTAAAATAATTATATTTTGTGTCTGGCAATCTTTCTGCCTACTACAAAGTTATTAAAACAAAATTGTTGAAAGTACATTTCCATGCCTCAATTGCAGAAAATAAAAACATCTTCAGCGAATGTATATTTTTGTCTGTAAATGATGATGTATGACATACGTTTGCCGTAAGGAAAATATACACACATTCTACAAATACACAGACTTATATCTGAATTATTTTTTGGCGTAAATACACATAAGAAAATGCACAGTAATGTTTAAAATGTTAGCCGAAAATTTAGAATTCCATAGTCTATAGTCTGGACTATAGATCAGTCTATAGTCTGGACTATAGAATAGTCTATTGTCTGGACTATAGAATAGTCTATTGTCTGGACTATAGAATAGTCTATTGTCTGGACTATAGAATAGTCTATTGTCTGGACTATAGAATAGTCCATAGTCTGGACTATAGAATAGTCTATTGTCATGACTGTAGAATAGTCTATTGTCTGGACTGTAGAATAGTCTATTGTCTGGACTGTAGAATAGTCTATAGTCTGGACTATACAATAGTCTATAGTCTGGACTATACAATAGTCTATAGTCTGGACTATAGAATAGTCTATAGTCTGGACTATAGAATAGTCCATAGTCTGGACTATGGAATAGTCCATAGTCTGGACTATGGAATAGTCCATAGTCTGGACTATAGAATAGTCTATAGTCTGGACTATAGAATAATCTATAGTCTGGACTATAGAATAATCTATAGTCTGGACTATAGAATAGTCTATAGTCTGGACTATAGAATAGTCTATAGTCTGGACTATAGAATAGTTTATAGTCTGGACTATAGATCGGACTATAGACTGGACTATAGATCAGTCTATAGTCTGGAATATAGATCAGTGTATAGTCTGCACTATAGATCAGTCTATAGTCTAGTCTATAGTCTAGTCTATAGTGTAGTCTATAGTCTAGTCTATAGTCTAGTCTATAGTCTAGTCTATAGTCTAGTCTAGTCTATAGTCTAGTCTATAGTCTAGTCTATAGTCTAGTCTAGTCTATAGTCTAGTCTATAGTCTAGTCTATAGTCTAGTCTAGTCTAGTCTATAGTCTAGTCTATAGTCTAGTCTATAGTCTAGTCTATAGTCTAGTCTATAGTCTAGTCTATAGTCTAGTCTAGTCTAGTCTAGTCTAGTCTATAGTCTAGTCTATAGTCTAGTCTATAGTCTAGTCTATAGTCTAGTCTATAGTCTAGTCTATAGTCTAGTCTATAGTCTAGTCTATAGTCTAGTCTATAGTCTAGTCTATAGTCTAGTCTATAGTCTAGTCTATAGTCTAGTCTATAGTTAGTCTATAGTCTAGTCTATAGTCTAGTCTATAGTCTAGTCTATAGTCTAGTCTATAGTCTAGTCTATAGTCTAGTCTATAGTCTAGTCTATAGTCTAGTCTATAGTCTAGTCTATAGTCTAGTCTATAGTCTAGTCTATAGTTAGTCTATAGTCTAGTCTATAGTCTAGTCTATAGTCTAGTCTATAGTCTAGTCTATAGTCTAGTCTATAGTCTAGTCTATAGTCTAGTCTATAGTCTAGTCTATAGTCTAGTCTATAGTCTAGTCTAGTCTAGTCTATAGTCTAGTCTATAGTCTAGTCTATAGTCTAGTCTATAGTCTAGTCTATAGTCTAGTCTATAGTCTAGTCTATAGTCTAGTCTATAGTCTAGTCTATAGTCTAGTCTATAGTCTAGTCTATAGTCTAGTCTATAGTCTAGTCTATAGTCTAGTCTATAGTCTAGTCTATAGTCTAGTCTATAGTCTAGTCTATAGTCTAGTCTATAGTCTAGTCTATAGTCTAGTCTATAGTCTAGTCTATAGTCTAGTCTATAGTCTAGTCTATAGTCTAGTCTATAGTCTAGTCTATAGTCTAGTCTATAGTCTACTCTATAGTCTAGTCTATAGTCTAGTCTATAGTCTAGTCTATAGTCTAGTCTATAGTCTAGTCTATAGTCTAGTCTATAGTCTAGTCTATAGTCTAGTCTAGTCTATAGTCTAGTCTATAGTCTAGTCTATAGTCTAGTCTATAGTCTAGTCTATAGTCTAGTCTATAGTCTAGTCTATAGTCTAGTCTATAGTCTAGTCTATAGTCTAGTCTATAGTCTACTCTATATTCTAGTCTATAGTCTACTCTATAGTCTAGTCTGTAGTTTAGTCTATAGTTTAGTCAATAGTCTAGTCTATGGTCTAGTCTATAGTCTAGTCGTATAGACTAGTCAATAGTCTAGTCTATGGTCTAGTCTAGTCTATAGTGTAGTCTATAGTTTATTCTATAGTCTAGTCTAGTCTGTAGTTTAGTATGTAGTCTAGTCTGTTGTGTATTCTAGTTTAGGAAAATAATACATGGAACGCATTGAATTAAGTTAATAATAATATTAATAATTAATAATAATATTAACTCAAAATCTCCTGAAATCAGTTGCTTTTTACTTGTTTCCCCGTATTCTGCTTATTAAATCACTTTTGTAAAGAGGGTTCGTAACCGCGCTAAATTTTGAAGTTGCAAAATGCTGTTTTATATTTCGACTGGCAAATACCAGGTGAACAGAAAAATCAGCAGGCATGATTTTCTACTAATTTTTAAAAATATCTAGACAATAGCAAAGTATACTTTAAGGCATTTGCTATAAAGGCAAGCTTAGAAAATAAATGCAAGGTTGCCATATGTAGGGAAAATGTCATGTTTGCAAGTATAAAATAGCACATTTTTAGGCGTGATTTAAAAGATATATATTATAAAGTGTTGCCGTTTAAATAAATATTAATGTTATTTAGGGATAGGTATTTTTTTATATTTTAATTATAAATTTTTACACCACTGTTTTTCCTTTGATTAGAGCTGCTTTTACAATTAAAACACTTTAGTGACAGTTTTTTTAAGATTAATTTCTTTTCATGTTTTATTATTTCCTTGTTTTTTCCATTTTTGCTCTGTTTTATGTTTTTTCTCTTTATAATGTTTTTATATAACTATTTTGAAAGAAAATTAACGTTAGAAATAAAGATTATTTGATTTGCTGTTTTCATATTTTTTTGTTTATGTTTGAAAAAAAACTTAAAATTTACTTTATTTTGCTTCGTTTTAAAAAGATTTACATTCAGATATACTTTATATGTATATAGAAAGATATATTTTGTTTCTATGTCTGTTATTGTAGGTGAAGAATGTTTGTGTGGCTTTTATTTAGTTTATTTCTTTTTTTCACCTATTGTTTTAGATAATATTGTTTTATTTTATTTGTAAACTATTGCAAAATAAGATGCCCATAAACTTTTGTTTAGCAAAGTGTGTGTATGTGTCTGTGTAACTCTGGTGGGGGGTGGTGGTTTTGCTTTGTTTTATTATATGCCAAATAAAAACAAAAGAATAAATATGGAAATTTGTTAAAAATTTAAGTGAAAATTTTACTTTTTAACACTTTCATAATTTTTGTATTCATTTTGAAAATTCGTACACAAGTTCGAATAGAGTAAAATCCATTTTAAAGGTGACCCAACATAGTTTAAAGGCTTTTGAAAATTCAATTTAACTTTTTGTCGATTTTCGAAAATACGAATTTTAATTTTAAAAACTTGAACATGAGTTCGATTAGCGCCAAATCCAGTCTAGTCTATAGTCTAATTTATGGTCTAGTCTATAGTCTAGTCTATAGTCTAGTCTATAGTCTAGTCTATAGTCTAGTCTATAGTCTAGTCCATAGTCTAGTCTGTAGTCTAGTCTATAGTCTAGACTGTAGTCTAGTCTATAGTCTAGTCTATAGTCTAGTCTGTAGTCTAGTCTGTAGTCTAGTCTATAGTCTTGTCTATAGTCTAGTCTATAGTCTAGTCTATAGTCTAGTCTATATTCCAGTCTGTAATCTAGTGTATAGTCTAGTCTATAGTCTAGTCTATAGTCTAGTCTATAGTCTAGTCTATATTCCAGTCTGTAATCTAGTCTATAGTCTAGTCTATAGTCTAGTCTATAGTCTAGTCTATAGTCTAGTCTATAGTCTAGTCTATAGTCTAGTCTATAGTCTAGTCTATAGTCTAGTCTATAGTCTAGTCTATAGTGTAGTCTAGTCTATAGTCTAGTCTATAGTCTAGTCCATAGTCTAGTCTATAGTCTAGTCTATAGTCTAGTCTATAGTCTAGTCTATAATCCAGTCTATAGTCTAGTCTATAGTCCAGTCTATAGTCTAGTCTATAGTCCAGTCTATAGTCTAGTCTATAGCCTAGTCTATAGTCCAGTCTATAGCCTAGTCTATAGTCCAGTCTATAGTCCAGTCTAGTTTATAGTCTAGTCTATATTCTAGTCCATAGTCTAGTTTATAGACTAGTATATAGTCTAGTTTACAGACTAGTCTATTGTCTAGTCTATAGTGTACTCTATAGTCTAGTCTATTGTCTAGTCACACAAGGTAAATAAACATGAAAAATACTTTTTCAAGGCTTTTGTAGTCTAGTCTATAGTCTAGTCTATAGTCTAGTCTATAGTCTAGTCTATAGTCTAGTCTATAGTCTAGTCTATAGTCTAGTCTATAGTCTAGTCTATAGTCTAGTCTATAGTCTAGTCTAGTCTAGTCTAGTCTATAGTCTGTCTATAGTCTAGTCTATAGTCTAGTCTATAGGCTAGTCTAGTCTATAGTCTAGTCTATAGTCTAGTCTATAGTCTAGTCTATAATCTAGTCTATAGTCTAGTCTATAGTCTAGTCTATAGTCTAGTCTATAGTCTAGTCTATAGTCTAGTCTATAGTCTAGTCTATAGTCTAGTCTATAGTCTAGTCTATAGTCTAGTCTATAGTCTAGTCTATAGTCTAGTCTATAGTCTAGTCTAGTCTATAGTCTAGTCTATAGTCTAGTCTATAGTCTAGTCTATAGTCTAGTCTATAGTCTAGTCTATAGTCTAGTCTATAGTCTAGTCTATAGTCTAGTCTATAGTCTAGTCTATAGTCTAGTCTATAGTCTAGTCTATAGTCTAGTCTATAGTCTAGTCTATAGTCTAGTCTATAGTCTAGTCTATAGTCTAGTCTATAGTCTAGTCTATAGTCTAGTCTATAGTCTAGTCTAGTCTATAGTCTAGTCTATAGTCTAGTCTATAGTCTAGTCTATAGTCTAGTATATAGTCTAGTCTATAGTCTAGTATATAGTGTAGTCTATAGTCTAGTCTATAGTCTAGTCTACAGTCTAGTCTATAGTTTAGTCTATAGTCTAGTCTATAGTCTAGTCTATAGTCTAGTCTATATTTTAGTCCATAGTCTAGTT